AACACTCGGAGAGGATTCTTCTAATTTTCCAACGGCAGGGATGCTCAAGGTAACTGCAGTTAGTACTGTGCAAAAGCGGGCAAAGGTGAAACACTTCTGAAAACTCTACGACAAGAGAGTGCCATAAGATGAGACCTAACCAGCTACTGGAGAGGAGCAAAGAGCAAGTATGAATAGCACTGCCACTTTGACACACGACGAGATCAAAGAGATCTGGTAGCTGCCATGTGCAGAGATGAAAGGAAAGTACAGTGCTGCATATCATTGGAATATGAAACGTATGAATTAAAGCAAAGTGAAACTTTAAAGCAAGAAATGAAACAGTTAAACATCACAGTACCTGGTGTGAGTGAACAAAGTGGATGGAAATGGGATATTTTCAGTTAGGCAAACACAAAGTGTTTTACTCTGGAGATGTAAAACTCAGAAGAAATGTAATCGCTCTAATACTGAGGCTAGATGTAGCACAGACAGCAAGGGGCTATAATGCAAAGTCTGACTGAATAGTATCAATCAAAACTCTCAGAAAATCCATCAGCATGGCCATCATTCACATCTATACTTCAACAACAGATGTAGAAGAACAAATTTAAAACTTTTATGCAAGTGTCCAAGAATGGTTTCCTATTGGCAAAAGTTTCAGATGAGGGTTTACTTTATTTCCTTATCTGTTCAATCTGTATGCAGAACATATCAGGAAAGCAAGAAAGGAGGAGTGAAAACCAGTGAAATATACATCAAGATATGTATATAATACCGTATTACTTGAAGAAAGCACCAGTGAATTGGAAGGACTCTTAATGAAAATGAAAGAAGTGAAAATACAAAAGCATAGCTGCAGATGAATACTCGTAACAAGAAAAACAATGACTGCAGAAGATTTACACAACTTTACAATCAATAATGAAGAACTGAAATTGTGAGTGCTTTTGCAGATCTTGGCTCAATCATCATTGCATATGAAGACTGCTAAAATTAGAAGACTGAGACATGGAAGGGCAGCAATGAAGGAACTAGAAAAGATCACCAAATGTAAGGACATTTCACTGGATACCAAGGCCAAGGTCATCTGCACAACTTTATTCCTGATCACTATGTATGGATGTGAAAGCTGGATAGTAAAGAAAGCTGACAGGAAGAAAATCGGTGCATTCAGAACATGATTCTGGAGAATTGCTTTGTGAATATCCTGGACTGACAGAAAGATGTACAAGTGGGTCTCAGATCAAAGCAAAAACAATGAAGACTTTGGGCACATCATGACAAAGACTCATTGGAGTAAAGCAGGCAAGACTCACTGGATTAGACAATTATTCTAAGGAAAGTCAAAGGCAGAAGAAGAGGACCAAATATGAGAAGGCTCAGTTCCAAAAAGGAAGCCACAGCCTTGAGCTTATAAGAGTTGAGCAGGGCGGTCAAGAAAAGACATTTTGGAGGGCGTTCATTCATAAGGTCACCATAACTGAGAGTCAACTTGATGGCATGTAACGACAACAAGACACCAAAAACCCTGAAGTCCTGCTTGTGTTTACAATTGATAAGCAAAAAAAAAAAAAAAAAAAAAAAAATCCCTCTAATGGGATTAAAGGAAAGGATATTTCTTTGTAGAGTGTCCAACTCTTTGAAATAAGACATTCTGATAAGGTCTCTAGGGGGCCACCATATGTCCAAAAGAAAGGGAATGGGGTCCATGGGTGGAAATCTGTAGTTTTAGGTAGGTATGAAAGAGAGGTCTAGGCCAAAAATTATTCAACAGGTGAAATGGGCAATGTGTGATTCTCCAGATATTTTAGCCTACAATTCCTATCATCCTTCACCACAAAGTATGCTGGTTAGGACTGACAGGAGTTGCTGCCAAAGCATCTGCAGGGATACAAGTTCCCCACTTCTGATCAAAGGTATACATCTGAATGAGGCAGGAATGGAAATATGGTTGAAACAAAGAAAAAACAACCTTGGTTCCCTAGCAATCGTCCCAAAAGCACAACAATGTAAAATAAAACAGGCTCTTTTTGTGATTAGCTTTTTTCTTGTCACAAGTGTTGTGTGTGTGTGTGTGTTGTTTGCATCTACTTTCCAAAATGGACTGCCATTAAGACCCATTTCTATAGGGTCTGCTTCTTTCATACATCTATTTTAGTAGCTTATATGTTTGGAAAGAAATATACTTTTTCTGAAACTGACCTTGTACTTTATGCACCAGAGGATTGCATACACTATGGTATTTATCGTCTTGACAATCATTGCTTTATACTCTTTCCAGCGCCAGGTAAAGACCTTTTTATTCAACCATCATTTTAATAATTAAGTTTTTTAGATTTTAATCATCTTTTCCCACAGTCACATTTTCTATTCTTTTCCTCCTCCTCTCTTTCCCTTAGTTTTATGATGTACTGTTTTATACTGATTTTATATCTGTTGTTTTATTATTGTATTATTGTAATTTTAAATCGTTATAAGCTGTTCTGAGCTGTTCGTCGGAAAGGACAGGATATAAATGTTTGTTTAAATTAAATTAAATTGCATCTAACAGCCAAGCATATAGAAAGTGAAACAAGGCCAACCCAAAATAGAGTTTGTGGTTGTTACATACTCAAGATGCTTTTGAATGGAGGAGTGGCAGGGTTAACAATGAGATGGCGCTGGGCAAGTATTGCACCATGTATTTCTGAATGCATTTACTATGCTAAGAAAAAGACAGAAGTGATGAGAAAACAAAGGAGGTCTGCAGTAGAAAGATACCATCTTCTGAAGACCCCACTGCTAAAATTCTGTGAAAAAGAGCAAAAGCACAGTAAAAGTGCTCCTTCATTTATAAATCAAAGTGCATGGCTCCATAACTGTGACTTGCAGGACCTATAGCATATTGAAGGCATTGTTGTTTGTTGTTAGTCGCAAAGTCGTGTCCGACCCATCGCAACCCCATGGACAACACTCCTCCAGGCCTTCCTGTCCTCCACCATCCCCCAGAGTCCACTTAAGCTCACGCCGACTGCTTCAGTGACTCTATCTAGCCACCTCATCCTCTGCCGTCCCCTTCTTCTTTTGCCATCTATTGTTCCCAGCATTAGGCTCTTCTCCGGTTGAGTCCTTCCTTCTCATTAGGTGACTAAAGTATTTGAGTTTCATCTTCAGTATCTGGCTCTCTAAAGAGCAGTCAGGGTTGATATGTTACCTAATATGGTACTTCCTGTTACAGAATCATAGAATGGTAGAGCTGGAAGGGGTTAGCCATTGGGTACAACTCCCTGCTGCTTCAGGACACACCCTCCCACTCAGATGGCTGTCCAGTTTCTCTTTGAATGTCTCCAGTGTGAGAGAGCCCACCACCTCTCTAGGCAGTTGGTTCCACTGTTGTATAGCTCTGACAGTGAGGAAGCTTTTCCTAATGTCCAGTCTGAATCTGGGTTGTTGCAACTTGTGTTGATTATTCTGTGTCCTACACTCTGGCATCAGCAAGAAGAGATCTCGGTCTTCCTCTTTGTGACAGCCTTTGAGGTACTTATAGAGGAATATCATGTCCCCCCCCCCCCCAGTCTTCTCTTGTCTTCTCTTGTCTTCTCTTCTCTTCTCAAGGCTGAGCATACCCCATTCTCTCCGTCTCTCCTCATAGGGCAGTGTTTCCAAACCCTGGATCATTTTTGTTGCCCTCCTCTGGACCCTTTCCAAATTTTCTGCATCTTTCTTAAATCTTGGTGTCCAGACCTGGACACAATATTCCAGATGAGGTCTAACTAGTGAGGAGTATAGAAGAACAACTAGTTCTCGTGATTTGGAAGTAATACTTCTGTTAATGCATCCCAAAATAGCATTTGCCCTTTTGGTCGCTGCGTCACATTGTTGGCTCATGTTTAGCCTATTTTCTACAATTACTCTGAGATCTTTTTCAGTTCTGTTAAGTAATGTATTTCCCATCTTGTATCAATGCATTTGGATTCTTTTTCCTAGGTGGAGGACTTGGCACTTGACCTTATTGAATCTCATTCTGTTGCTTTCAGCCCGGTGTTCAAGTTTATCACGATCGCCCTGGATCTTCATTCTGCCCTCTAGGGCATTTGCTATTCCACCCAGTTTTGTAACATGTGCAAATTTGATTATCTTTCATTGTACTTCCTCATCTAAATCATTAATAAAGATGTTGAAGAGCACTGAGCCCAGGACTGAACCCTGTGGCACCCCACTAGTTCCCTCCATCCCATTTGAGAAGGTGCCATTGATGAGCACGCTTTGTGTCCTATTTAGCAGCCAATTTTGGATCCACCTAAAAGATTTTTTATCTAGTCCACTTTTTGATGCTTATCAGAATGTCGTGTGGCACTATGTTGAAAGCATTGCTAAAGTCTATCTAGATTATGTCAAGGCAACACCGAGAAGTGTTGGGGAAGAGTAATTTTAGAGCTATTATCCACAAGCCCTCCAACCCCGATAGGGTGGCCAAATGCAACCTTGCAGCTGCTTGCTGAAGTGGGCTTCAGAGGAGAGGTGCCCTCAGGTGGAAGACCCACATTTCATCCCTTGTCCCCTGTGTCGGTGAGGGGCATGACCTGAATCTCTTCACAAGGCCCACGTATTTCTTGTCTGCAGGGAAGGCGCGGGGGTACTTCCAGGTGCTTGGTGTGGATGGGGCAAAATCTCAGCCCGGCTCCCCCCTGACTTGGCCCGGGCTGCCCTCGGCGAAGCGCGGCAGCAGGGCACCCAAGCAGCCCGCCGCCGCATGGTGGGGAGCAAAGAGTTAAAACCACAGAGTGCCTGGGGTGGGCTGGCTCCCGGTCGGCCCGCTCGCCGATCCCGCGATGGCGGCGGCGGCGGCCGCAGGAAAAGGGCGGGGGGCGTCCGTGCAGGTCGCGCCTTTCCCTCCGCCCGCCGCCCACCCTTCGCTCTCCGGCGGCCGCTCCGCCGCCTGCTGAGGCTTCGCCCGGAGCCGTCCCGCGGGGGGGAGGTCGGGCACGGTCGCAGTCGCCCCCCGGTTCGGTAAGGCGCCCGGCAAGGCGGCTGGGGGAGATGGAGGCGGAGTCCTGCGGGGGACCCTGTCGCCGGGGGAGCGGAGAGGCGCCCGGAGGGAGACGGAGGAACGGAGGCCCGGCGACCGGGTGATGAGACAGGGAAGGGGTACGGAGGAGCTGGAGAACGGGGCACTTACAATGCTTAGTAGGTCACTGCCCTGGTCCGTCCCGCCGTACATTTAAATGTTACATTGTAAAGGAACAAGCAAAGCATCTCTTTCGAAACTGGGCGCAGGGGGACCAGGAGACCCCCAGATGTGGGTGAACTACAACTCCCTTCATCCCCTGACCCGTGGCCCTGCTGGCTGAAGCTGGTGGCAGTTGGGAGTCCAGCCACATCTGGAGGACCACCAACCCGAGGCTTCTCTTTCATCAGCGACAGAGTGATTTCCCATCAAAATGACAAAGGGGAAGTCTGTTAAACTTTTGTAAAGAAACCCTCTTCTAGGGAATGTATTACATTATGTCATATTTTTGTCCTTCATGTCATATGCATATGCCTTTATTAGGATATGTGCATTCTTGTTTTAGCAAAAGAGCTGCCACAGTTCTCTGGCCTGGTTTAATTCCAGTATTAGTTAAATGGCTGCTGATTCTTTTTGAGAGTTTGTGATACACTGCCTTTTGTTTAAAATAAACAGGTTATATAGTGGGGGGTGGGACTTAATATTTAAAGTTTTTCACAAAATGCTTTAAACACTAGCAATAGCTACAACAACTCTCTAATGTAGGTCAGTGTTCTGCATATTGTAGTTGGATACAGGACTGAGAATGCGAAATAATAACTAATATGGGTAACTTCTTAAAAAGTGTTAAACACCAGGATTTCTGGAATTGATTCATCTTTCACAAGGACTCATAAGTTAAACATCCCTGCAGTTTCCATTTTATAGACTGAGAACTTTACACTGATGAATTGTGCAATTTGCCCAAGAGTTCTTGGCTTAGTTAGTGGCTTGTTTGAAAAGAGATTTCTGATCAGGGATGCCACTGGGCAGAATTTGGGGCCAATGAGGAAGAGAGGAGGCAGCTGTCAGAATACTGTCTTCTCCAATCAAAGTTCTCTCTTCTAACAGCTGGATGATTTTAATATTAAGAAATCAATCTGTATTACATTTTCTAGCCATAAAACTTTTACTGAATTTAGGTCCCTCTTCAAGACCTTCTTGTGCCATGAAGCTTTTAGAACAGTCTGTGATTCTAATTTCCTGCTGATAGATCAGCTGATAGCTAATTCAGGTAAGAGCAACTGAAAATAACATGTGTTGCTTATCTGTTTAGCACTGCCTCCTCCTTGTCTGTGTCACATCTGGGTTGACTCTTTGTAAGCAGTATGAGGCAGGTACCTATAATCTGAAAAGATAGGGATGTTGATGTATATACACGAATAATAGATATGCATAAGGGAAGAACACCTTAGAACAGTTAAACTTCAGCCAAATATACTGTACATCTGTGAGAATGAATGAGGATTTTTTAAAAATTATGTTTATTGCATTCTACAGTAAAATAAGCACAGAACCAATTTCATACCCTTACTACTATTTTAATTGTTTTCCAAGCAGTGCCATCCAGTCTGATTGCCCATAGCCTTCCAAACCTGGAATTATGGACATCCACTGGAAGGTGGATGAAGTGCTGAGACAATGGTTGTCTTTGTGCTTCTTCTGCCCTGCAAAAGATTTAGACAGATGATTTTGGCTGTTTAGTCTTTTCCCCAGCACATGAGATGCTGCCAGGATACATCATATTGTGATGGAATATCACAATATCACATGCTCCTCTTATGTGTGTCTCCCCTCTGCCTAGAATGCCAACACACCTTTGGCTCCAAGGATGACCTTTTGAACCGTCAGCAAGAATGAACACTCTGGCTATGAGAATGGAGTGAAGGCACTCTGAGGTCAGACCCTCAACTCTGCCTTTGGGTTGTGTTTCTGAAGTTGGAGCTAGGCATTCAGCCTCTCTTATGACTGTCTCTACTGTGTTTATCAACCAAAAGATTGTGCCCTTTGTTTTGAAAAATGAATATTCAAAAAATTCAGAAATGCTATCTATCTGAAATATTTATCAGTTACACATCCTGCTGTCACTCTTACAAAATCGATCAACTGAATCATCTTTTTATGCCTCCAAATACGTGGTGATTGATCTGTTAAATAATAAGTTGTCTTTAAGCATAAATACTGTTAAACATTTACATTAAAAGTCTCGATTAGCCTCCCAACTCACAAACCAGTATAGTCTAGTAGTTAGTGTTGGGTATAGATGAGTTCAAATGAGCCTCACATACTCAGCCAAAGCTACTTCATAGAAACATGCCTTTGTTATCAATTCTTATATGGTACTCTGTAACAGAAAGTTCTCAAGGTGGCTTATAGAACAAACAAGTTCAAAATAGCAATAAAAAAAGAGTAATACATCAAAATCTGAAACAGCTTTAAAGCCCAGCCCTGATTAACAATCTTACTGCCAGACTGTGTTCCAATGAAAGTTTCAAGCTTGCTTTTAAAAGCAGTCCTATGTTTAATTCATTGTAGCAATCTAGATAGGAAGTTACTAGGGTATGGTTCGCTGAAGCACAGCTATCTGCCCCACTGGGTTGTAGCTGATGTACCAGCCTAAGCTGGTAAAGAGAAATCCAAGCCACTGATCCATCCTTGTGCCAGTAGTGACAAGGATAGATCAGAGAACACACACTCCACACCAAATTACAAATGTCCTACAACTCCCTCTAGTACAGGTATCTATCACATAGGTAAGTGAACCACCCAGTAACAGTACCACTGTCTTGTCTGGATTGAATCCTCACTTTATTGGCTCTCATCCAGTCCATTATTTCAACAAGGTACTGATTTAGTGCTTCCATTGCCTACATGGGTCTGAGAATAAGCAATTGTGCATACCATTGACACTGTGCTGTAAATCCCCAAATGACCTCACTCAGTGGCTTCATGTAGATAACGGAACAATGTGAGGATTAAAGGCAGAGGGTAACTTCCTCCACTGAGTAAGACTTACTTAAGTGAATGGAATCTTTATGAAGCTTGTTCACATCCATCCATTTGCTCTCCAATCTCTTCCTTATCTCCTAGAATGGAGCAGGAAGAGGATTTGATGATTGAAAGTTCAGAGGTTTTTTCTGAGACTGCAAGAGGACACATAGATGACGACGAGTGTCATATAGAAGAGCTTCTAGGTGGGCCAGCCCCTTACAAGTGTGCCATTTGTAGAAAGAGTTTCACAAAGACGTCCAACCTTGTGCAGCATGAAAAGATCCACACTGGAGAGAAGCCCTACAAATGTTCCCAGTGCGGCAAAAGGTTCACCCGGAGCAACAACCTTGCCGAGCATGAGAGAATCCACACAGGAGAAAAACCTTACAAATGCCCAGAGTGTGGCAAGACCTTCAACAGAAGCTCCATCCTGCTCAGGCACCGGAGGATCCACACTGGGGAGAAGCCCTACAAGTGCCCCAAATGTGGGAAGAGCTTTGACGAGAGCGCCCGGCTTCGGGTACACCAGAGAACTCACGTGACTGAGATGGCCTACCTCATTGACAGCAATGGAGAGGCCACGGCCATTGAGGCGGCTGGAGTGGCTCACACCTGCCCTGACTGTGGCAAAACATTTAGTCTGTATTCCAATCTGATTAAGCACCAAAGAATTCACACAGGGGAGAAGCCCTACAGGTGTGCTCAGTGTGGGATCAACTTCAGTGAGGCCTCTAATCTGATTCGGCACCAGAGGTACCATGCCCGGGACAAACCTTACAAGTGCCCCATGTGCCAAAAAAGTTTTGGTCAGAGTTCACATCTCATTCAGCACCAGAGAATCCACACTGGGGAGCGGCCTCACAAATGCCCTGATTGTGGGAAGAGCTTTATTGAGAACTCCACTCTGAAAAAGCACCAGCGAATCCACACTGGAGAGAAGCCCCACCGGTGCCTGGAGTGTGGGAAGAGCTTCAGCCTCAGCTCCCACCTAGTGACACACCAGAGGAGCCACACTGGGGAGCGACCCTACAAATGTGAGGATTGTGGCAAGGGGTTCACTGATACATCCTCTCTCATCATCCACCGGCGAAGCCACACAGGAGAGAAACCCTACAAGTGTGATGTGTGTGGGAAGGGATTCGTCCTGAGCTCAGTTTATCTGAACCACCACCGCACTCACACAGGAGAGAAGCCTTTTGGGTGTCCGGATTGTGGCCGGGCCTTCCGCCAGTGGTCGCAGCTGGTCATCCACCGGAGACTGCACACAGGGGAGCGGCCCTACAAATGTCCCTATTGCGACAAGGGCTTCTGTGATAGCTCCACTCTGACCAAACACAAAAGAACCCACACGGGAGAGAAACCCAACACATGTGCAGACTGCGGGCTCAGCTTTGGCTCCAGAGCGCTGCTCATGGACCATCAGACGCTCCATGGGGAAGAGGCCTCTGCTATGGCCATTCTCTCTGTCTGAGGTGACCATTTAGAGCCTGTCCTTAAGGTGGTACTTCTTAGTATAGTATTCCAAGTGATTTGACTGTATGGGCTGCCACTCTCTTCTGTATGTCCACATTTGTTCTTGACCATTTGCTTCCCACAGTGGTAAAGAAAGGCAGCCTTTTCCCTTTTCATTGCCTGCGGTGAGTTGGTTGCTGGGCATCCGGATAGCTTTGAGATGAGGGTGGTTGTGCAAGGCATTGCTGATGACATCACACAGGCAATAGTGCGTCTCTGAAGCTGGTGAAAGCAGAGTTGTTCCACCAATCCGTTTCTATGATTAAGGACATTGTGAGGAGGGGACTCCCCAAGCATACATTTGCAGATCCCCTTCATTTAGCCTTCAGATTATACGTCTACCACCTGTACTAGTAAAATAGTTTAGGTGGAGGCTGTGGACAGACCCACAAAGCATGGGGCATTTCACTGTTGAGAACCAGCAAAGATAAACTCTCTTAAGAGACTTTCAAAGAAAATTCCAGTGGAAATAAGTTCTTTCCTCTGTTTTTTTCTCCACATGAGATTTGGAGAATATAAGGGGATGGCAATTTCAGTAGCATAACACTATTTTTAAGGGTTAATAATTACTTTGGCTGCTATTTTTCTTCACATTCTACTTGGTGCTGCAAAATATTTTTGCTCCTTATGAAAGGAGTAACCCTGAAGCAATGGATTTCATGGAAGGGATCTCAAGGGCTGCTAAACCAGTCAGCATGTTTGTAAAAAAAAGAACTAGCACATTTTTAAAATTGTATTTTGAAAATGTAAATTTTGAACTACACTTTGGGCTGGTTTGGACATAATAATAAACCATAGTCTAGCCACCCCACTGCCCAGCAGAGCAATGACTAGTTTGGAAACTTCCATTGACTTTTTAGATCAACCTGCCATATCATCAGAACCAAGATAAACTATGGTCAGTCTTAACTATGATTTGCTGAAAGGAACCAAATACAAAGTATTTATTTATTACATAGTGTTTCAACAAGCCATAATTAAGGTTAACCACAGTGTACTGTATAGATGTAATGCCAAACTGTGCTTAATCTAAAACAGAAGTGTTTTGGCCACTCCAGAAAAGACAGGGAGGAAATATGCAAATTTGATACTTGCCTGGGCTTATCCTTTGATTGGTTCCCAGGCAGATGCTATGTTAAAAAGTAATCCAAATGTTTCAATCAAAAATACTGTATTTTGAGTTTTACATACCTTGTTGCCTCTTGATCTTCTTTTGTTCTATTTCATCTCCAAAATGTTTGGTCCAAAATGTTTGAACTCAGGGGAAATTGAGTGAGCCTCAAAGGCTGGAGAGAGCTGGGTGTTTGAGTCATGTGAGCTCTGGGCAAGAGCTCCTCTGAGAGGTAAGAAAAGCAATAATGCTAAGAAAAGATTAAGAGGCTGGTGTTTTGAGAGACCAGTGGCCAAGAGGATCCAAAGTTGACTGGACACCATGTTGGATCTTGGGATCAGTCTGCAAGAGCTTTGTTTGAGCAATGCTGGAGAGATCTCATACCCTTAAAATACTTGGCTGAGGAATGCTGGAATTGTAGGGCTTTTCCCGTGTAAATATGCATAGAATCACACCCTTTGGCTAAGAACTTTGATAAAGAAAATGCCTCAAATTAATTGGGAAGCAGGCTTTTTAAATTGCATATTATTTAATACAAGTTCTTACAGAAGCCATTTTGGATGAGGCAGGAGAACAGTGCCTCTTTTAAGATGAAACTGCCTATGGCACAACTATGCCAGACTGGTAAAGAAACCCACAGAGAGGATGAGCCTGCTGGAGGCTGCCAGAAGAGGGACTGGGCCCTTTGGTCTCCCTGCGGGAGCCTGCTGCATTTTTGCGCTAGCCATAGATGTGGGATGCAGCGCTCCCCACCTTCTCTCTTGCCTGCAAGGTTGGCGTTGCCTATCAGGCTAGCACTTAAATGCAAGGCTTTCAGTGTCATCAGAAACAAAGCAAACAAGAATGCTTTTAAAAAGTGCAAGTTAATACAGATTTAATTGAAGTTCATGCAGGCAAGGCGTGGATCCTGGATTTGCCTTCGGGGCCTCTGTCCAATTTTTAAGTGCTCACCAACCCTCTGTGTAGCATTTTGGAAGGGTTGCCATAGAGGGAGGATGAGGGAAATTGCTTCTGCCTGCACAGTTGCGTATGCCTAGGCCATTTCTCACACCATCTGGATTTTACAAGGGAGAGTAGAACAATAAAACTTCTAACTGGTGCTGAATGAACAGGTCACGTTTCTTTTCTGTGGTACCTCGGCTCCTAATCACGTTTCTTTTCTGTGGTACCTCGGCTCCTAATCAACTGAACTTGTGGACCAAAACTAATCTGCCAAAAGCAATAGTTACTGGTTGTGACGCTGACAGAGATAGTGGCACATGTGGCCCACGAACTTGGCTGGGAAGCCACTCTCAGGTTTGTTGGTTGGGGAAGAGGAAACTGCAGTGCTTCCCTGCCAGCCTGTCAGTAACACTTTCCTTTCCCTTGGCAACAGAGTTTTTTAACTTTATTGCAACAAAGGGAGTCAGAGTGTTTCCTTCCCTTCGCCCAGCATGTGTTCACATCCCATATTTATGCCCTTTCCCCCACTTCTTCCCTCCTCTCCCTCATTTGCCAAGGTACTGGGTGGTTACAGTCTTTTCCATCTGCCTATTCAATACCTGCTCCAATACCTGCTCTTCTCTCCCACTTTGTCCCTCCCAGGTGAACTATCATGAGCTTATTTTCTATGTGGGATGTGTTAGTTAATATTCATGAAGCCATTGAACAAGGGTACTGCTATCTTGTCTATGTGATGTGCCAATTCCCTCCTGCTGTCTGATCCTGGCCTTTTCCCCTATGGCTAAGGAATTTTCTTTGTTACATTTTCACTCTTCCTGTTGACTTCTTTCAAATCATCCTTTCATCCCTATCACAGCCTCAACTTAAAATTGCCCGTCAGTAAACCTAACCACTAACCAGGCTCCTGGGCATGGCTGAAGCTCTGTGACAGAGAATGGACTGAGCCCCGGACTAAGTTCATTGTTTTTGCCCTCTCAGGCCAATGGGACTTAAGTAACAACTAACTTGTCCCAATGATTTCGGTGGGAGCAAAGTGCAACTTACACTGAAAGCCTGTGCATGTCTACTCAAAAGTAAGTACAATTTCCACAAGATCCCAGTATAGGAATATAATGGGATGTATGCTCAAAGACCTGATCAGGCAATGTTTTCTTCAGGCTTATTTTTTCTTAACATAACACTGAACCAGATGTGGAAGAAGTAACTCTATTTGTAGAGGAAATATTTAATAATTTATCTACAATATCTAGGCAGATTTCAAGCTGGGAAAAAGCAAAGAGCTAGGACAGATAAAAGAATAAAAACAATACATTAAAAACAAGGTAATTTGAAGGCCCAAAATACCACAGGTGATTCAGGAGCAGGGACCAAAATAACCTCTGAACCCAAACTAAGTTTTCAGCCTTTATGATCCCAGGGAAAAACCTTCTGACAGCATGGGTGGGAAAAACCCAGAACTTATTTTTGACTGCAGCCTGGTTCAAATCCCAGTTCTTTAGTAAGCCTGCAGTTGTGCTTCTGAACTGAGTGAGGAAATGGGACCTGTAGATCAAGGAAGCACCTTCTGCCTCAGATTTCAGCTGCGTTTGCAGTTGCTGCAGGCTCAGAACCATCCCTCCCATACAGAGATGGCAACCCTAACAGTGACTCCTTAAGTAATTATACTGCTCACACTCACAAAAATCAAGATGCACTCTCCACACTGCACACCACGCAAAACAATGGGCAATGGGTTTGTTTAATGTGAATTTTATTATATAATGTACAGCAGTGAGAAGTTAAAAAGTTGGCATAGAAATCCGGTGGCAGAAGGAAGAGCTCACATTCCTCAGACTCCTGACCTAACATGTGATCTAATAAAAGCCTCAGTTTGGGTTTACACAGTTAAAAAAGAGAGAGAGTTCCTGGTAATTCAAAACTGCAAGCTCAGGCATATTTTTCTCCCGTAATTCCCCAGTTTAAAGGACAAAATGACTGCTTCATTTGCAATCCGGGAAATTTTTCCATCACAACATGCAAGTGGGGAGGGCGGATGCAGCGTCCTTCTTTCAGCACCAGCCAGTCACCTCCCGAAAGCCCCAACCAGAAGGAGACCCCACCCCACCCCTACCACAAATTGCCCCTGTCCTCCCCTCTGGGGAAGAGGCACATCCCAAACCCCACAGCAAACCTCTTACAATCCTTCAGACTGAAGCAAAGATGGATGTGTGTGAGCTCACCCTAAAGCAACCTTCCCCAGCCTGATGCCGTCCTCGTAGCTTGGTTGACAACTTCCAGCATTCCTGATGTTGGCCATGCCATATGGGACTAGTGGAAGTCCAAGTCCAAGACATCAAGGGGGCACCAAGTTGACAAAGGCTGACCCAACGTTTTGCCAAAAAGGGATAGACCAAGGGGATACTATTGCCCCTCCCTTTTCAAAACAGAACCATTGTGACTTCTAGATCAAGATCATTAGTGTTTTAATGCAGGCCTGGAGTGCCCTGTGCCCTCCCCAGGCATGTATATTGTGGCAAGAATACAAAAAGATTCCAAATAACCTGGAGGCAAAAGGGCTTTCCTCACACCCCTCTCCCTGCTGAATGGCTTTATGGCTTAGAGGGGCTGTGTGAAGAGGAAATGCCCATCCCTCCCTCCTGGGCAGCAACTGTGGAGAGAGACTTGAGGGAGCAAAGGTGAGGTGAGGCATCTTTCATGCCCTGCCTCCTGCCTAGACGACTGACCGCCAGCTGGTCTTGTGGATGTGGCTTAAGGCACTGCCTCCTGTCTGAAGTGCTGGCATTGTGTGAGTGTGGCTTAAAACTGGCATGTGATGGGGTGGGGGGTTAGTGATAGGCTGCTCATGCTGTGACAGGCTCCTGAGCAGAGCGGGAGGAGCAGATGCACCCTGCTCCTCACCTCGCTTGTTCTGCGTGTGGCTCTTACCTAGAGGCGTGGTTTTTGGCATCAGTGTGGTGGCTCCAGCGATGGGGGCGGAGCTCATAAGGCACAGCCCCCTCCCACAAGGGGCAGTGGGCCCGGCTTGGTCGGAGGCGGGACCCAGAGCCCCCCCTCTTCCCATGCTGGCAATCGGCGCGGCTTGGCCACGGCAAGGCCAAGGCCAGGGCGCCCCTCGTCACCCAAAGAGCTTGATGAAGCAAGGGTGGCAGTACGGCTTGTCGTTCTGCTCCTTGAAGGTGCCCTTGTTGAGCTGCTTGAGGCAGAAGGCACAGACGAAGTGCTCCGGGTGGAACTTGCGCGCCATGGCGGTGATGCAGCGGCCGGTGATGGGCTTCTCGCAGCCCGAGCAGAGCGAGCCACGCTGCTTGTGATAGTGGATCTCGCAGAACGGGCGGCCGCCATGTTCAAAGAAACTGCCGTTCACAAACGGCGTATAGCATTCCTGCAGGTAGAAGGAAGGAGAGGGAAATGAGGGCTGGCAGGGAATGAAGCTCTGGAACAGCTGGGCAAGCACCCCCAGCGCACAAGACAGGGTTCGTAATGTAAATGCTGGGAAGGACCATTCCCATGGGAGACGTCTCAGGAGGCAAAACTGGACTCGGGACCACCTGCATTTGTCCTCAGCTTTCTACCTATTGTCCCAGAACATACTGTTATCTAGCCTTCCCCAGTCTGGAGCTCTCCAGATACATTAGAGTACAACTCTCCCTAGCTAGCAGTATCCTCAGCCACTGGTTAGGCTGTTTGAGGATGCTAGGAGTTGTAGTCCAAAACATCTAGATGGCGCAGCCTGTAAACTGCGTAGTATCCAATTTCCAGGATCTCTGATCTCATCACCTTTGTTAAAAAAATCAAGTATTAAGTTGGCTAACCAACCATCTGGCTAGTGATTTTCGTTATAAAATGAAATACTTTCATATTTTGGGTAGAAGACCAACCGTTGATTTGTTGAACAATTCAAGGGTGGCTCCAGCTGGAACTTGGGCAGTATTAATTTTTGGACTTGTCAAAAAACCCTAGAAATGACCCCATCCCTGCTTCCTCTTTTCTTATGTATTCAAAGGTATTTTTGGTTTGTTTGACACTATGTTCCTTAATATCTGTTTCACTTGCCTTCTGATCAGATTATGTTTATTACAAGAAACCCTGCTTCATTTAGTTCTCCTTACACAAGCAGAGTTTCACTTTCACACAACCTTGATTCTGATCGTAAACCCAGCAAGAACCTCCTGGATTGGATGGCACCTTTTTAAATCTACAGCATGCATTCTAGCTGGCCTTTCTTTATTGTGGTTTTGAATAACTTCCAATTCTGAAATATAACAAATCCCTGTAGAAATATAAATTCCTTTTACTTATTTTTAAAATATTTATTATTTGGCAACGTAGTGTCACCATGGTAGATTTTCTTGCCAACTTTCATTTACTTAGATTTTAGTTGCTTTTCCCAGTTGTGTGAATAGTAAGCCTGGACGTGGCTCACTATTAAATCCCTTTCATGATCAATAGTTATTTCTTATATCTAAAAGTTGGTTCTCTTTGTCACAACCCAAATATGCCTTTACCTGATCAAGATGAGCATAGATGAGGCCATGCAAGGTGCCAACCCTACCCCCTTTTCATAGCCTCATTGTGGGTGGTGAAACTGTATGGCCATTTAGTCAATTTCTGAGGCAGACAGGAGAAAATTTAGACTTCTCCTGATTCAAGGCCTTCCCAGAAGTTGCATTTTTAAATTCTTTTTTCATTTTCCGCTTTATTCTGCTCCAAATCCAAGTGGAAGTGGCACTCCTGTTGTCAGTGTGGCACATGCCATTTTTCTGTATAGCACTTCCACTGAAATAACTTGACCGCAACAGGACACAGGAAGGGTGTCTTTGTCTCCAATTTTATAAATAATAATCCTCTAATTCAACAACTATTAAAGGACAACCTTAAATTAAGGCATCCTCTGTTTCAGGTGGAGGGCTTTCTATGTGCCTTAAGCTACCAGCCCTCCCTGATGTTTTTTTACACTACCACCATCACCAAAATTCAGTGCTGTAACAACAGAAGAAAAAGTGGCACATTGTTAAAAGTTGCTCTTCTGCCATCACTGCCATGCCACTAAATTTGAGAAAATGCAGTAGTGCGGGAAGTAAGGTGTGGCCACTGATGATGTGGAGGGGAGGGCAAAAAAGTGCACCCTTGCTTTATTTGAAGGGCTGTCCAGTGCAAGTTTGGTTCAGAGATAAAGAACAGTGAGAGCTAGCACCTTGAAGTTGCCCATCAAGACTGAGCACTGACTGAGGAGCAGGCAGACAGATTACTACCAATTATTGTCTTCCCCAATAGGGTAGCATATGGCCATTTAAATTATAGTAGCTATTAGTAGGTTTACACTTGCAAAATTAACCTATGCAGATATGTGACTTCTTGGCAACAAGTAAGTGGACAGCCTAAATAGGATCATTCCAAGGGGACATTGGGTGTGGAAGTGGAAGCCAGCTGCTGCTGCTAATTGCCAGTTGCAGGGTGGCAAAACTGCAATTAAATTAAGAAACAGGATGTGGGGAGGAAGACAGAGTCTATCGAGGCCCTTCCCAATCAGTAGATTTTCACAGGAAGCTTCAGCACTCTCTACTGCAACCATTTTCTCTCTGGCAGCCTCCCATGACACCCTGCTGGTGCTCACACTCACCCTGCAAACGAAGCATTCCGGGTGCCACAGGGCATTGAGGGCTGAGATGTAGTTCTCCAGGATGGCCTGGTTGCATCCCTGGCAGCGGGTCGAGAAGAGCTCGTAGAAGTCCTGGCGGCAGTACTGCTTCCCGTCCTTCTCATGAAAGCCTGCAGGGGGAGACAAGGAAGTAACGACCGCAGACTGAATGGGCACGCTTACTACTGGTGCTCATAATAGAGCCCTCATCCAGATCTGCCGCTGAGCACACTTGTCTCAGTGCCAGGGCCCTTGAGACAGACCACAGGGTGGCGGGGCCTAACCCTAACCCTTTTCAGAAGTTAGTTCAGAGGATCCAAACTTGAAGGGCTCTTTTTAAATTTTAACTTCTCAGGCCAAATCTACACGGCTTACCCTGTTCTTTTCACCACTGCTGTGATCTCAAACCACAACAGCATGTCCATGAACTCCGGTCTTTCTCCTCAGATGGGTTTAATATCAGCTTGGATCAAAGACTTTCCTGACAGGCAACCACACAACACTTGTTTGGTTAAGAATTTCAGCAGCCACCAGGCCACAGAAGCGCTGTGTAAAGTGTCTAAAAGATAAAGCATGGCTTTCAGGCCTGCTAAGGGTCTGTTAAACTGGCTAGGCCTTGAAATTTTGCAGGGACAGCAGGGTTCACTGAAACAGACATTGTCATTCCTGTGCCTGTGCAGCCATAATATTATATGTGAGAAAGAATAAGAGAAGTATGTACTATTTCAGCTTTCCAAAGAGTTCAGAGCAGCTTACATGGTTCTACCAAAGTGAGCAGAAGCTTTTTTTTTTTTTTTTTCACTTCTACTCCCAGTATTTTTGACCTCTCATTATGCTGGCAGAAACATCTAGGACTTGAATCACCAAACATCTGGAAATCTACCTTCTGCTCACCCCACCCCTATAGCTTTAAACAACCCTGTGAGTTAAGTTAGGTTAAGAACCAGTTAAAGCCTAACATCACCCACTGAATTTCATGGCTACACAGTGATTTGAACCCAGGCCTCCCTACTTCTCGTATGACACACTAACCAAGGGGTGCACAATGTTTTTCAGCCTGAGATCTGCATTCACTTGGGCATAACATTCAGAGCCTACCTAGCAGTGAGGGATGAGACAAAATACAAAAGTGAAGATGCCCAAAACAACATTCTGGGTTGCACCTTCTCTCATCATTTCTCCCTCTCCCGCTCTCCCCCTCACCCTGCCAGCATCTAGCAATTAATCTTAAGGGGAAAAAACGCTCTCATTTAGGGAGAAATTTTTAAAAAGCCTAATTGCTGTAGTGGCAGGAACTCTTCAGCAACTACAGTTTTCTGCCATTCTCCTCACAAAATCCTGCAGCTGTTAGCCTAAGGGGGAAGGGCCCTTGACATAAAGGGGGCCTTTTTCCCTAAAGCTAATTCCCAAGGGGAGAGGAGTGAATGCATGGGTTCCCCCATCACTGCTGTAGCACGGCACCTTATCAACTTTCACAGCTAACGTTTTGGTACTTAGTAGTCCTAACCATGCAAACTCTTGGTGGGCTCATAATTCTTGGGCCCATAAACCCAAGAAAAACTAATCTGCCCATGCACGGAACTGTTTGCTTGCTCTCCTCCCCTGCCTGCTCCACCACACAATTCCAGCAGTCATCCGCCTTCAGCACTCACCTTCCTCCCCAAAGGGCCGCCCACACTTGACACAGCAGAAGTGCTCCGGGTGCCAGTTCTTATCCAGCGCTGTCACCATTTTCTGAATGAGTCAGATGAGTACACAGGGGGAAGGAAAAAGACAAGGTCTGAGAGGAAGTAGCTTTTTGTTGACAGTGCCCCACAGACTCCTGTTGCTTGTTGCTAGTCGCGAAGTCGTGTCCAACCCATCGCGATCCCATGGACAACATTCCTCCAGGCCTTCCTGTCCTCCACCATCCCCCGGAGTCCACCTAAGCTCACGCCAACTGGTTCAGTGACTCCATCCAGCCACCTCATCCAGTGATTCCATCATTCTCTGCCATCCCCTTCTTTTGCCATCAAAACAGACTCATGCAGTTGCACATTTCCCAGTAGTTCTCTGTGTTGGGTTTTGTGGTCCTTTTCTGCTTCCCAGCAGTTCTCTGTGTTCCTGGGTTCTGTGGGCTGGACTGCAGTGCGTTCTCTGCTTTAGCATGTATATACTGTGCCACCAAGTGCATCAGCAATACACGGACACCCTGTTGCTCACCATGCCATTATGGCATCGCTTGGTGGAGGGCAACCTTTGAAATGCAGGCAGTCCTCATGGCATTCCCACATGCCCCAGAAAAGTCCAAAAAGGCAGGCAGATGCGTATCCGCCAGTGTGAAAATGCCTGGGTGTCAACATGCAACTTCCAAAGTTCAGCAATGCACAGAAAATTTCCCATTTATTAGGACCACCTGACAGTCCTAGAGTAGTTTGCTGGCAAAAAATAGTGCAGTGATTGGGATGCCGGGCTCTGGCTGGTGTGAAATGAGATGGTTCGAGAAAGGGAAAGAGACACATGCAACACATTCCCAAACAGTATAAATCAACCAGCTCAAGATTTACTGGGCGTTTCTTTGGCCAGCAGCAGGGGAAAAACATTTTATCTTAAAGTCAGCAAACCAATTCTAGCAGGTTTCATCTCAATCAGTAATCGATCTTTTGTAAAGCTCAGGGGCTCTAATCCCTATTCAGGATGAAGCTACCCCAGAATGTTTTGCATTACAACAGAGAACAAAATACTGCTGAGGAAATGTTACCCCCAATGAGCTGCTACAGGGTTTTGCAGCCAAGCCCAGAGGGAACAGGAAAACCAGTGCTGATAGGAGGTGGGAGTGGCAGATGACATCAGCTTCTCTGCTCGTTAAGACATCTGGGAACTTTGCCTCTGCCTCTGCTACACCACTGACTACATTTGACTTCATTTTGAAATGTGGTGAGCTATTTTGAGTGATCACGCACGCTCATGCCCTTGTGGGAAAAGCAACAAATTCCACACAAAATGGTTGCCTTGTTCAACTAGTTGAAGATCATCTTGGGCCACAGGAAGCATCAGCAAACATGGAGGGCAACTCACATCCAGGATGGGTTCGTTGCAGAGTCCACAACGGGGGGAGAAGAGCTGGAAGTAATCCCTCTCACAGTAAGGGGTGCCATCTTTCTCAAAGAAGTTACTGCCTCCCATCTCCTTCTGGCAGTGGGTACAGACAAAATGCTCTGGATGCCAAGTGCTTCCCAGTGCTGTGACCACCTGGACGAAGGAAGGAAGGAAGGAAGGAAGGAAGGAAGGAAGGAAGGAAGGAAGCAGGAAAGGAGAGATACACTTGTCTCAAGTCTCAAGGCTACAACCTCTTTCTCCTCTTATCCGATAGCACCTTTCGGCCTCCTAGGATTTTGGCCAGCAACTTCCATGATCCCTCATCACTGGGCATGCTGGCTATTGCTGATGGGAGCTCCAGGCCAAGGCATCCGGGGGACCACAAGCTGCTCACTTCTGTCCCGCAGACTCCTGCCATACCTGCTTTTGGCTGCTGTCCACCCAGATGCCAGCCCTTCTCCAACAAACAGTGCTCACCTGCCCTGCTATTGGCTTCTGGCAGGAAGCACACAGACCCTTGGCCGTGGTGGAGATCCCCTGGCGGCTGAGGTCCGACTCCAGCAGCACCAGCATGCTGTCCAGATTCCCACTCGGCTGGGCTGGCGACATCTGTGGGGGTGCGGCAGGGGGGCTGGGGCAGACCGACGAGACTACTGGCTGCTGTGCGGAGGACACACAGGCAGGAGCAGGTGGCGGTGATACCGTGCTGGTGGAGGCACCGGGAAGCTGGAAAATCCGGGAGCAAGAGTCAGAGATGAAGAAATGCCTACAGATAAGCCTTTTTATTTCGTACCTTGCCTGTCGTTTTGCCAGTGCCAATCCATCCATCCTATCTGTTTCTTTCTAGAATGGAGTAGCCAGCCTTGATCACAAATAGCAGCAATGAGCAGCCAGGGAACCAGAGGCCCATGCACAGCTAATTCTTGGATTTTCCAAGACTGCAGAATAGCCAACTCTGCACTAGTAGCAAATTGCTACTAGTAGCATCCCCAAACCTGCAGGGACTGAACCAGTTTCCTCCTTTCCTTGGCCCAAAGCAGCAAGATCTGTCTGTTCTGTGACATGTAAGGAGCATCTGGGTGCATTTAAATGAGCTTTTTAGGTGAAGTCAAGTCAGAAATTTTTAAATAGTCTCTTAAGGAACAGGGTGAAAATCACCCAGTTTAAGAAAATTGATGGCTAGCCACAGGTGAGAGACACTCCTGGCTATTTTTTTCTTGAGTTTTACTTAGCTTCAGGTCAGACCATGAAGTGACATCTCCATTCAGGAGCATTCCATTCTGACCGGACAGATGCAAAGCAATGCAAAGTTTGTTTAATTTGTGGTCCAAAAAAGCCAAATCCAAATTGTGAAGGGTGTTTTGCACCAAAACCTGCTGATCTGTCAGCTGTACTGAACAAACAAATGTTTTGCATAATTCTGCTTCTGCTGTTTATTTAGGCATATAATGGCTGTGTTCACACAACCCAACAAGCAAACCTGGGTTCATAATTTTTTTACCATGATCTACCTGACAGTCAGTCAAATGGTTTCTACTTTATTGTGGTTTTCATCCTCCTGCTCAGAACTCCTATTGTTGGCATGTATCCCACCAGCCACTGCACCAGAAATTCAATCCCAAGATGCATCACTCCCTTCCTATGTTGCCTGCCTCTTCCTCATTGGTTCACACATAGAGACTAGATGGCTGGAGCACATCCTACAGTTGCCACTCTTTCCAGAGCACTCTATGGCAGTTGCAAACCAGGACCATGGAAACCACTATCCTGGGTTCAGACAACACAACAAGCAATGGTGGTACAGAGAAGCCATAGAACGAATAGTTGTTTCTTACCATGGTTTCTAAAGACCAATCTTTCCATGATGAAATACCATGACAGTTCTGACAGCACAACAGACCATCCATGGTAAACAAACAATTCCCCCCGCCCCCCATGGCTTGTAGGGCTCTCTGTGAACCCAGCCAATGTCTATGTGGCCTTTCATAGACTTGGGGTGGCTTGAAATGGTAGAGGGTGGGGAGAGAGACCAAGGCAGGTCACAGAATTGCTCCCTGTAGAATCCTGTTCAAGCCCGCGCATACGCATACGCACACTATCCAATACCCCACAGTGGCTTCTACAATTTCATCAATCTGTTGCCTATCTCTATAGGCAAAAGAACTAGGAACTTTAAAAAATGAAGAGTGGTTTTGCAGGATGCAGTTTCTGCAGCCAGTTTCTGCACATGCACTTACCACAATCATAGCCCACTGCCACTGCCCTCCCCCACTGCCACTTCCCTCAGTCCTGGCGGGACCCGAGTTCCCACTCACATTGCTCTGGACCCGGAAATCTGACAGAGACGCCATGAGTTTGTCGAGCTCCAGGGTGGCTGATGTGGCAGATGGCTTCGCAGGTGGAGGAGCTGCTGACCTGGGAGTAAGATCACATTGTGAGGCTGGAGCCGGGGAGGACCCAGGCAATGTGGTTCTCCCCATGGGAAACCAATCCTGGAAATGTCATTAGATGCCTGATTGTAGCAACAGCTCCTCTGATCCAGCTTTTGAAGATGAGGGCTGAGTTCAGCCCTCTAAGGTCAAGCCAAGTGAAAGGGAAAAGGAGAAAGAAGGCAAGTTCCAGACAACATGCCAATCGGTGAGTCAGTAACAGCAGCATGAAGATTCCCTGCCTGGACCCAAATGCAGCTAATTCTGGGACAAGTTTCTTGTCCAATCATAATCACCCTCACTATCATCCACCTACCGTGATAAAGAACCACCCTCTACAGAATCTTCCAGCCTGTCTTTGCCCTTGTCCCCAGCAGGGCTTTTGCTGGATGGAAACTGGGACATTATTTCATCTATAAGAGAAAATAAAGGAGGAGAGAAAAGTAAACGTTTTAAATAAATATAAATTTAAATAAATGTATATTTATAATTGTTAACCTGTTTTACTTAGTGGGTTTATATTTTAACATTGGATGCTGGGCAACTGTTATTCTTATTTCTATTTTTAGGATTAATTGGCTGTAAACCGTCCCGAGACATCTACGTATGGGACGGTATTGAAAAGTTTTAAATAAATAAATATAGTTATAGAAATCCTTTTTTTGGCACTTGTCATTTCAGTTCCTTGCCACTGGAAGGCAGCACTGCCACACTGCTGAGAACAAGAAGGGCCCACATCACCCAATTCAGTCATGGAACATGGGAAGCCACAAAACCATGGTAGGGGTTCCCCCCTGAGAATGTGCAGAGTGGCTTAGCACTGAGGAAACACAAGGAGGGCAAGGCAAAAAGACCTCTTGAGTTAGAATACCTCACCCCCTCTGCTCTTACAGCAAGGAAGAGTCTAGTTTCCCCTTAGCACATGCAAGGGAAAAAGGTGTGAGCAAAGAGGTAGGTGGAGGAATAGGGCAAGAAATCCTGCAGCCCAATTTTTCCCTTTACAATTTTTAAAGGCAGAGACCACTGATTTCATTTGGGACTTGGCAACCTTGTGCAAGTCTGAAGATGCAACTTCCAAGATAGCTTGAGCTAAGAATGTCTAATTTTGGAAACTATGCATCAGTGAGGGAAGAAAAGAGGCTGTGACCACCTGCTCCATTGCAGGACAAAGCGATGCCACGTGGAAGCAGGCAGCCCATGCGGCAAATCCTGCTGCTTAGAGGGTGGCAAATCCCATAGAGAGCTCTCCCGAAAAATACCAACAGCCCAGAACTGTTTTCTATAAATGGAGCGCCTGCCCCAAGAAAGGTCAACCCTACTGTTAGATAATTGATTTGGGTCATCCTGAAAGGGCAACAAATGGCTATTCAGTGTATCATTGTGCTGCCGGGATGGGAAAGATGCTCATGAGATTTTCTGCCTCAGGTGCCAAAAGCACTGGCTTGAGTTCTGGGGTGGAACTCCCTTTGCTGCTCAGTCCCAGGCAACAAAATGCCTTATGGCAGCCTAGAGCAATGGTACCAACAGTCTGGCAAGCAGACAAGCCTCACTGCAGCAAGGCGGGCAGGGCAGGGGACATGCCAAGCCTAAGGCGGGCTGGAATGAACACCAAGCAAGGAACACCACCCTATCGGCTCAGAACAGGGGTGAAGGGCATACAGCTCTCCATTGCGAGTTGCAGTCTGACCTCAACTGGAGAACAATACATCCCCCATCCCTATCCTAGAATGTGGCAGCTGGTCATTTAAAATAGCCTTTCCCAACCTGGTGCCCCCAGATCTCTTGTGTCCCTTCCATTATGCCTGTATACAGCTCCAGCTGAGAGGCCCCTCCTTTCTGCCACCAACTCTCCCTGCTGAGGCTATCAGAGGGATACGAAGCAGCAACCCCTTCCACAGCAGTCACAAAGAATTTACTTTTTTCCTCTTCCCTCCCAGTACTCTTTCCTTTAGTGCCATGCTTTTTAGACTGTAAGCCCATGAGCAAGGAGTGCCATATTTTGTCTCTAAGTCATCCTGGGTACTTTTTGGGGGTAAAGGTGGGATTAAAAACACTTCAAATAAATAAATAAGGCAAATGTTAACTGTGTGTTGCACAACCGAGGCAATCTATGTGGCCGCCTCAGAGGGCCGGTGAAGCCCAGGGGCTACAGTGTCCTAGCCATGCCATTGCCCCCCTCCATCCTCCCCATCCCCATACCTGTGATGTTGAACTGGGTTGCATTAAGTTCCTGCAGGAGCCGGTCCAGTTCGCAGAGCCCAGCCCCCAGCACCCCGCTGGAAGAGGAGAAGGGTGGGGGGGCACCTTCTTTCGGCTTGGGCGAGCGTGGCTTGCAGACCGTGCTAGCGGAGGCAAGCGAGAGAGAGGCCGTGAGCGCACAAGCAGGATGTGGGGCTGCTGTTCCAACCCAGGAGCAGTGCTGAAGAAGGGAGAGCTCAGCGCTCACGCCGCCCCCGGAGGAGATGGATGCAGCATCCGTCCACTCCAGGGAAGACGGGAAGGGAGCAGAGAGGGGAGGCAGTGGGGTGACGGCTATTTATAGGATCCCTCCGCTTAATGGAAACCCTGGAATGAGGCCAGCAGAGCTGGGCAGAGCTCCCAGGAAGGCCAAACCGTCCGTAATCTTCTCTCCTTCCCCGCCCGGCTTCTTTCCATGCCTCTTGTATCCATGTCTCTTTCCATTCCTCTTGAGGCCAGCCTAGAACCTCAAATTTGCTGAGGCCCTTGAGGGCTACTTCCTCTGGGATGCCCAAGTGAAAGACTCCACCTTTCTCCTAATTATTATTATTATTTTTGTATAAGAAAGAGGATGTCTGGCTGCTTCCCCTTCCCCGATCAAAGAGCTCCGCTGGCAGAAAAAGCAGCAATGTTTTCTCGCAAGGAAAGAATTAAAGGCGTCAGCGTTTCTGCCCCATTAGGAAAGTGGACAACCTCATTCCTGGGGCCACTGGCCCAAGACGTTTAGCTGCCAGAGGCCAAAGTCAAGGCGAGCCCTTGAAGCCACTCGCAGAAACTGACTTGGCTGGCAGGCAGACCCAGATTTATATGCCACCTATAACTGCCAAAGGCCTTCCTAGGTGGCGGGGAGGGCAGGGGGGCGGGGAGGCCACTGGGCACACCTCTGCTCTCAATTCCCTTGCTTCCCACTCCCCGGGGCAGCTGCTTCAGTCTTCTTAAGGGCAAAGCCAGTCCAGCCCAGGGCCTTCTGGTCTCAGGGTCCTACAGCTCCTACAGCTACAGTACCTCTGTCCCTGAACTCAAAAACCGACCAACTAAACCAACCTCCTCAGTTTAGGCCTCAGGCCCTCCTGGTACTATTCACTATCTCCCCAACCCACAGGATTGGTTTCCCTCAATATCCCCTTTGTGTTCAAAGGTCCGGTTTCTCCTAAATGTCAGCAATCGCTAATGTAAAGGATGAAATGGTCCCCTATACACACCAAAGAGACCCTCAGGTGTACAACCTGCCCCACATACATAGCGATGCCAGGAAAGGCCCCATTATTTACCTGTACAGGTGTTCCTTGTCACTGCCACCCTGCAGGGCAGCTGCTGGGAGTGGATCAGTAGGCATGGCTGTGGTCCCAGCCTGAGAGAGAAAGAGGGCAGGGGCATCACAAAACCAAGAGAAGGCTCTGCATCTCTCTGTGTCAAAGAGATCAACACTATCCGGAGCAGGAACTGGGTTCCTAGTGACCCTCCAGGTACTGTGGTCTACAACTAGAGAGGCTGATGGGAGTCAGAGGCTAAAACATCTGGAGAGACTCAAGTCGCCCACTTCTGGCCTGGAACTGTATGGATCCAAAAAATACGTAAAGCAGGTGGCCTGGAGATGGAGGGTGGTGCTGGAAGCAGCTGCAAATGGAGCTCGCTCTCTCTGCAGGAGGCACTTATTCTGTTTTTGTCTCCTGCAAAGACCTAGCAGGTTTAAGCCTTGTCCTCAAGATGTGCAAAACGGGTGTGACCAGAGGGAGAATGGGACAAGGGTATATCCTGTGGGAAACGAAACCTGGCTCAAAGCTTTCAGTTCTCCTGGCTGCACAGGGAGCTGCGTCATTGGAGCAAGATGATCACCGTGGGTGGGCACTTGCTGCATTTTGTTTAGACAGAGTAGCTTCCCTCCTGAACCGAGCTCAGGGAAGACCCATTCGATCAGCTTCTGCCAGGGACCAGCTGTGCACAGAGCTGATCAGCTGAAAATTGATTAACATCACTAAAACAGGTACAGTGAGTTAAACCTTTTCCAGCTCAAGGGTCAAATTCAATGTTAGAGCAGCTTTTCTTTGGAAGGGTAGGTGAAGGATGCAGGGCCAAAAAATACCAAAAATATCAGCATACTTTAGCTTACAGCTCTTACTACCAGGAATTAGGCCTTAGGAGACACTGCACAAAAGCTGGAAAACCAGCAAGCTGACAGAGCTCAAGGGAAAGGGATTGGAGGTCTAGTCCAGGACCTCAGGCAGGCAAAATCTGGACCCACGCCAGAAGCTCTTTACCCTGACTTAACGCATCTCCTCTCTGGAGCAGTTTTTCACTGTTTCTTTTACATTAAATGTGCTTATTTTTCATTAAGTGAATCAACATACAGTACATATGGCACTGTAAAAAGACTTTTTAAAAAGATGGTCCATCTTTTCAGGCTCCCAGAGTGGCTTTTTGTACAAGAACTATTAGAAACTGTGTTTATCCTTCACACGTTACCATTCCGGTGCAGCTCATTTGGGAGTCAAAGGACTAGAGGGGAATTAATTCTACTCTGCTGAAATTTTGGCTGCCAGCATTCAGTGGAACAAGCTTCTATTTCTTGTTGAATAGAGGGAAATCAAGAGATTCGACTTTTCCTCAGTGCATGAAAAAACTTTACCAGCTAATTTCTACCCATTGTGTGGCTATTTTATGGCAAAGACTCTCTGGAGTTTTTCTACATAAACCGTTGTATTGTGCACTTGTCATTCCCTAACTCATGGGTTTTACAGGTTAAGTGACACCATGAGGGAAATGGCAACATACAGCACAACAGCAACGCCATGCACATTTCCCCATAATTCCTTTCTCCCCCATTCTAACCCGTGATGCTCAGCCCTGTGGCTGAGGTGAGAACACCCCTCCCCACACTCACCCTGTTGTCCTCACCTGCTGCTGTCCTACCTGTTGCTGAGGGTTGTAAGGTGGAGGAGCTGGTTTGGGCTCTGTGGCCCGGTCCTGGGCCAGGGCACTGCTGGAGTCTGTGAGGAGAACTGGGCGCTTGGAGATATGGGAGGTTGTCGTCTCCAGATCAGCCAGGAGAGCATCTGGTTACAGAAAGAGAGGACATGGGCTGAGGATGGGGCAACGGTGGCAAAAGACGGCAGGTGGTCAGGGAGGTCCGACAATGAAAGAGGCATCAGGAGATAAATGGACCTGGAGGATATGAGGCACAGAACAGGTGAGGGAAAGAAGCCTGCCCGAATCCTGCTTTCTGTTTCCACTGTGGAGCAGAAAACACTGGGGTCCTTACTGCAGGCCATCACCCTGCCCTCCCGCTGGGAATTCAGGTCTGCTTTGCTCTTCCCGCTGGCCCGTTCAGGAACGGCACACAGGGTCTTGCTGCCCACCTGAAGCGCCTGCCACACAACGGCCGTATCCGCACACAAGAGGGATGCAAGATGCTGCCCTGCACTGAATGAGGCCATGGGGCCATCCAGCCCAGTAGTGCCGGCACTGAGTGGCAGAGGCTCGCCAGCATTTCCATCAGAGTGCTTTCCCAGCCCTACCTGGAGATGCCAGGGCTGAAGCAGGGACTGCTCGCAAACCAGATGCTCTACCAGCTGAGCTGTGGCCCCTTCCCTGGCTTAATAATTCCTGGTGTACTGATAAGCCAGGAATGCTGGTTTAATAAACCACAATATGAATGAGCCATTGGCTCATCCCTTTGAGCAAGTAAGTATAGAAAACAGACAGGGATAGCTAAGTTTGTTAGTGTGTTGTATGGGCACAACAACACATCATTCAAGTCAAGATGCATAAGACAAAAACCTTGGTTTAAAGGTAGTTTTGTTTAAGCACATCAAACCAGAAACCTGAGATTGGACATCCATCACTGAAAACTATCCCTGCCTACTCACAGCATGCTACTTATTCACATTGTGGCTTAATCAGCTAAAATTTTTGGCTTATCATTATGTGTGAATGTAGCCTATGAATCACAACCTCCTCCAGCAGCATTTGAGGTCATGACTTATTCTCCCCTTATCTCTTTTAACAATGCCGCACCACAACTAGTCATTTCTACACTAAGGATAGTGTAGAAATGACTCTACATTTCAGCTCTACATTTGACTCTATACTTCAGCTCTACATTTTCCCTGACCTCTATGAGGAATTTTTGAGACCAACATTTTTAGGGAATGAGTGATAGAATCTGTGGAAAGCAACACATTTCTGATTTTCTCCCTTCCTGCTATCAGTATCCAGTGGCTTAATGTGCTTTATTGTGTTTGGCTGCAGGGAAAGAGACAATAAGAAGTTGTAAGGCTGCTACCCCACCTGGCCTGCTGCCCCAGCTAAGCCTCTAGCCAAGCTAATACCTGGTTTTCCTTTCACCAGTTTGAAGAATAACCACCTGTTTCTACTGAAAAGAAAACATTTGTTTTTAAAATATTATTTTAATTGAAGGACAGGATGCACCCAATAGAGGCAACCTCATCATCTACTTCTGAAGTGGTGTCATGTCCTCCTTGAATACACTGAGGGAGAAAGACAGTCTTATAGCTACTCTCCTTGCCCACTCAAAAAAACCCTGGACAGATGTGCATGAGAGAGAGGGAATGCACAGCTCCTAAGTAATTGCATTAGAAGAGAAATAAAATAAACCAAGGCTGACAAAAGACATATGGCCCACAATATTCATGCCACCCTGTTCCTCCTAGCAATAAATATTTGTGCTCTGTTGGGGGTATACTGAATTTTTCCAAGCACAAATTAATCAGCAAATGAAATCTCCCTGCAAATGGGGAGATTGGGCTGTGGGGTGGCAAATTTGAAATAAATCTGCATTTATTTAAGAGATATTTCTTGGATGCCTTGCCCTGCAGGATCAAGGGTGACCAAGGCAGGACTCCCAGGCAGCCTTGCATCCAGACACTGACCAGGCCCAGATCTGCTTAGCTCCATCGTGTGGCGGCAGAATGACCGGGAAGAAGCACGTCACATCCTAACCCCACCGAAGTCAACGGGACTTACATGACTCATAGCTCATTATTCCATCAATTTCAATGGGACTGAAGTATGACTAACTTCCTCACTCCCTGGGCCTGGCCTCATGAGCTGGGATGTTCTTAGTTGTTACTGCACTAGTGTGTGCACAAGAAAGAACATGAAAGCTCAGAATGATGGTGCACTTTTACCATGAAGCAGATACTTGTGTGACAATTTTCCCATCACCCTTATTATCTCTAAATGTTGTTAAAGAAATGAGCAAATGAAGGGTTTCATTACAACCTTTTCCAGAAAGAAAGAAAGAAAGAAAGAAAGAAAGAAAGAGAGAGAGAGAGAGAGAGAGAGAGAGAGAGAATGAACGAATGAACCTGAGGTGTGATAAAGTCTAAAGTTGCTAGATCTCACAGGTTCAAACATTCTGCTTAAGCCTTCCCTGCTGAAAATCTCTAAATCCTGAGATTCTATTGCTTCTGAGCCAACATCAGTCAATTTTAGCCAATTAAGCAGTGCATCATTAAAATAAAGAACAGGGATCTATGAGGATCTGTTCCAAATAAGGGGATGGTGTAGGAAAGGAGGGTGGTCAGTGCTAATTGTGAAAAGGAGATAGAACGGGACATCACACAGGATGGGAAGAGAGACAAAGAGGAAGAGAAGTTGAGAAGAAGCAGGAAGCCTCGAATTGTTTTATGTGCTCTTGAGTAGATGCCACCCACTTCTGCCCTCCAACTCAGTCATGCTGATTTGGGTGTATTATTTAGTGGTAAGGCAGTTTTTTTCCTCGTGTTCAGAGCCTCTCATCTCACTTCACAGGCTTAAGAGCCTAACCATTTTAAAGAAGTTCTCGGACTACGAAGCCCAGGAATTCAGATCCTACATATTTTCTTGTCTTCTGCCTACCCCAGTCTTTGCCCGCAGAGACTGACTTAAACTTTCCATTGCAACTGCCGGAAAATTTGCTCAGCCTTCCGCACAATCACCCCTTTGTACAAACCCCCTTTTCCCACCCAGAGTGAGTTCCACAGAGGCCTTTTCAGTGGCCCAAACGCAATGGCCCATAAACATCAGCGGGCATCTGGACAACCTATGTGTTAATCATTCTCACTGCAGCCAGTTTATCCCAAGTTACCACAAGACAGATGATAAAAGAGAGGGAGGGAAATACCAAAATAATTCCCATGTGTTCCCAAAGCCAGGCTGCAGCCCTCCAATTAAAAAAAGTGTCTGTAGTGTCTGAGAGATCCTAGAACAGCCGAAACACTTTTAACCTGATTCTTTTAAGAATGACACAGGTAATGATCCATTTATTTATAAAACTCCTACCTGACTTTGTAGGCTTTCAAGATACATCGTGCTTTTTAAAGATGACCCTTCACAGTTCTACAGTACTTTTTGAGTGTTCAGAATGCTTTGTTAACTCAGGAATCCATACAACACCCCTGTGGGTCATACTTTTATCCCCTTGTTGAAAAAGGAGGAGAGGAGAGGGAAGCCCAAGGAAAAACAAATGGCTTAAAGTCATGGGCTTCCTACAAGAGGCATTTAGGGTGCACTTGTGATCCCTCATTCATGCAAGTTTGCAGGGATTTTTCATGACATCCTCATCCTCCAGAGTTCTCCAGCCATTTTCATAGTTTTCTTTTAGGGCCAGGAATGCTATTAAAATTCAAACAGCGACAAACTGGAACAAAAGTCCCCTGCCAAACTGCAAATCTCCTACACTGCAAGCTATACTTGGGCACCACCTAGTGCCTGGTATATAGAATACTGCATCTGGAAAGCTATAGAAATACAAACTTCAGAGGAGAACCCCCTCTGCTCATGAAAACAGAAAAAAAAAACACCTTAGAAAAGCAGCAGCTTAAACCCTTTGTGTAAAGAAGCCCCTCATTAGCTCATGGCTGAGGCAATATCCAAATCCACCTCAGATTTCTCTACTGGAACATCAATAACTAGGTGTCTCTGGAGAACCACAATGGGGGGGGGGCAGGCAGAGCAGAAGGGCAGTGAAGGGGCAGCTAGAACCCCTGGTGGTGAGAGAAATTACCCATCCTGGGGTCATCAGCAGCTGCTCCCTACTGTAATGTCCAGCCTCGGTTTTGAAAGAGACTGCAAGAGCAAAGCAACGCAGAGCAAATGTCAAAGGGCCTTATGAGAATCACATGCCGCAAGACTGGTAGCCCTGCAATAAACTGGCAATGTACAATTTTAGCCCAAGAGTCACCCCAAAATAGTACATCTGCAAAGACTGCAGGCATATGGAGGGCCATAAGAAATTGCAAAGAGGCTTGTATGTTCACCCACCCAGTCCCACACAGGGTATGTGAAGGCCTCCCAAATATCCGTGGCAACCCCATCCTATCTGTTCAATCAGTCCAGTCCATCTGATCCAACCTGAGAGCCATATCAAAGGCAAGTACTTCTGGGTTCAGTCTTTTGCACACACACTTTTGCACACACACACACTACAGAATAGATGTTACCGGGAGCAAGTCCTGTAGTAACAAAATATTATATGTTATTATGAGACTAGGGTATCTTCTTGCATCATCCCAAAAGAGGAAATGCATCACCCTAAAAGGTAACCAAAGATGCAGTTCTGCATCACAATTGCATGGCCTAACTTGCATGTGCATGGATGTAAGTTCAAAACTAATTCACCTGATTTAAATAGAAAAATTACACATCTGACCCTAGAGAGGAAGACTGTGACCAGGTACCCTGCTCGGTCTGCCAGCCAGGTGCTAACCATAGGTGGGCAACTTCAAAGCCCCACTGTCTTCCCTTTGGGGTTCCTCTTTGAACACCCCCCCCCCACACACACACACACACTGGAAAGCCTTTCTGATAGAGGGACTCCTTCACACAAAGAACTATCTTCTGATGATAGTTCAAATGGGGGAACAGCCTTTATAAAGTGGGACCCAGCCCAGGACATTTGGCATCATCAAAGAGTCTAATGAAGTAGACCAGACTGCTTTTTAATATGTAATTTTATGAAGGTTTTCTGTTTTGCAATAAAATTCACCCATTCAGAACCCCCCCCCCACACACACACACACTTTCCTGCCAGGTCTTTTAGCCTCCATTCCTCAAGAAATGGATTTCCATGGACCCATCTGTGCCTAGTAGATTACCAACACCACCTGTCTGACATTCAGTTTTGACCATTTAATCATAGTTGTAAGAGTTCCGTTCTGAACTATGGTTTCTGATCGGAACAACCAACAACACTCCTGCAAGAGGAACCCTTCAGAGATCAATTCTTCGCCTTCTCTGATCCTGCTGTGAAATAATCTTTTATTATTGTTGATCCTATTCCTGGTAGAGATCCAGTCTTTATCTATGGTTGATTTCTGCTCGATGGATCTCCCTTTTCAAGACCTCAGCCGGATATGCAAATACATCCATGTTTGTGCATATCTGGAGTAGGACAGTTTCCGGCCCCCACCCGTCATCAGAGAATTTCCCAGTGACAACATCTGGTCATCTGTTCTGCTACTGAGTGTATTGTATTGCCTCTTTGGATCCTTCATATCCTTCCTCTACCAAGGACTCACTGCAGCTGGATGGTCACACTTTTAACACACATGGACACACGGCCCTCCTAACCAAGTCAAGAAGCCTCCTTTAACGATCCCAGCTCTCGCCAGCAAAGTTCCCCAGTTAGGTTGCACATTCTCACAGCTGGATTATGCCTCCCCTCCCAAGGTCATCCCAGGCCAAAAAGAGGAGGGGAGTCTAGAGCAGAGGGCCTGGACAGCATAATTAGGATGAGGGGATCGTTAACCGTTATTCCAGCTGCCTGTGAAACATACAGACCTAGTAGAAGGAGAATCTGGTGGGGGTGGGGAAGAAAAAGTCTCCCCCCCCCCCCCCGCTCTCACTTCTGGCTGATGTCACAGGGTAGAAATGTGTCTAAGGCTGAGAAGGAAACCACAGAAGGAGAGACACAGGAATGTAACTTACAAGGAGGGAGGAAAAGAGACATGGAGACGGAGAGGGGAGAAGGAGGGAGAAAAGCGCGGTTGACACCCAGCCATATCTCCTCCTGGAGCACGGATGCTTTACCCCAGTGGCAGATAAAGTTGGCCAATTTAAAGGGGGCATGTGCAACAACGCAGCCCCACACTAATTGTTAATTCAGCCAGAGCAGGACCTGTTGGTGCTTAAGGCAGAAAGCACACACACACACACACACACAGTGGGGCACAACCGTCTTCTTGTGCAGCTCCCATTCATTTAGATTTGTATATTGCATGTTTACCCCTTAAAGAGGATTGGGGCTGCATCCCACACTCTTTCCTCTCCCCCTTTTTATCCCCACAACAAGCTTGTGAGGCAGGCTAGGCTGAGAGTCAATAACTGGCCAAGGTCACGTTCTGAGCCCAGCTTGGGAGAACTTTCCATTGAATTGCCTCGGTAAAATCTGGGATGTCTCGTCAGGATGTCTCCTCGTAACAGAACCATGGAGATCAGAAATTAAATCCCCCCTCCTCCACACACAAGCATGCATGAAAAAGACAAGGCTGCCCCGAGGGGTCCATCTAACCTTTCTCTGAGCGCACCCTAACACTAATATGCACACAGTCCAACAGAGAAACACGACAAGTTAATGGGGTATGATTGGTCCACGTTACACGAACTGCACAGGCCTTTGCAGACAACAAAACTCATGGCATCCCCCTTTGCACACCACACAACAGACGCAGGCCGGACATCTGTGTGCCCACCCTTTGAGGATGCCACTAATTTAGAGGCAGAACCGTTTGCACGCCACAACGCCAGAGGTGGCGTTCCCAAGGTTCATCTAAGGGAGGGAGGGAGGGTTGGAGGAAGAGGGAAGGGAGTGCCAGGACTCCTGGGTTTCTCTGAAAGGTGTGTGTTTTAGTAAGTCCCTTTCCCAGCTTTAGGAGGAAAGTGGAAGTTGACGGGATCTGTGCAACAGGCGTTCCTCAGGGCCAGAGCCCTAGCCTTAGCTCTGGCTTGGAGCAGAGGAGAGGGGTTTGGACCCCTTATCCCCAAACCTCTCTCTAGAGCCTTTTTCCCCCCAGAGCATTGAGGTGTCTGGGGAAACACCAACACGCCGGATATACGGGGGGGGGGGGCAGCAGTGTGGTCACGATCCCCCTGGGGAGAGCGGGAAGGACTGCAAAGCACCCTTGTTCCCCTCTGGCGACGTGCCACTGCTCAGCTATTCCGCAAAGCCACAAGCATACGCTGAGAAATACATTCCTTCTTTCTCCGGATGGGAAGGGCTAAGGAAATGCACCCTCTGCCCCCCCCCCCAGCACCCGCTCTGCTAGCTACAGGGAGAGGGTGGGGTGGGGTGGGGTGGTGGAGGGAGGGAGGGAGAGAACCTCAGGAAAAGACAGAGGATAGAAGAAGCTAGCCAAAAGCTAACCCAAGCCAAGGAGAAAGAGCAGCATGAGAACGTGTCAGAGACAGAACAAGAAGGAAGAAGGCAGGAAGAAATAGGAGCCAATTCACACATTAATTGTTCCTTAGGTGCAATAACTTGCATTAAAGTATAGAGCGGAAAATGTAACAGCTGAACGACAGATGTTGGGTGGGCAAGTAAACTTGAGCTTGCAAACACGTGTACTGCACATGATACACACACTTGCTTTTTGAGGAGCCAGGAACAGCTACCAGTGCCAATGCCTTGTCAGACCTGGCATTGCCCTTGCAAAAGGTCCACCAAAGGACGGGAATGTCGACCCAGGGTGGGAGGGCCGGAGGAATCGGGGGCTGAAGAAAGTGAATGCAAAAACCAAGAAGAGTGCATAAAACGTATGTCACGTTCAAGATTAGGCAGGGAACACGTGTTCCCACCGTGGCAGTAGTCTTTCAAAAAGAAACAAAATGAAAAACTGGACAAAAAGAGAGAAGAAAGGCAGGCTGGCGAGCACCAGATGGAAATAGGGTAAAATGAATGAGATACTTATTTCTGTTTTAAAAATGAGAGGGTAGCTCGTACTTGAGGGAAAAGAAGGAAGATTTGGTAAGGAACTGCCCAGGCAAACGTGAGCGAAAGACGGAGAAATTAGGTGTGGAACTGGTGCCAGAAAAAAAGGGCTGTCAGAGCGAGAAAGGGGAGAGCACGGAAGGTGGCGCGGGGAGGAGGAAAAAGGGAATGCCGAGGAGGACGAGGGAGGAGAAGGGCGATGGAGGCGGCGGCGGCGGCGGAGGCTGCAGCGGGGTCTTCCGGCGCGCTCGCGGGTTTCTTACCCAGATCGTCCATCCCGGGAGGGCGCGGACTGAGTCCTCGACTCCGGGGCCGGTGGCTGGCTGCTGGGCGGCCCCCGCCCCAGTGACGCGCCTTCCCGGAGCGCAGCCCCGCTCCGCCGCCTGCCGCGCCCGCCCGCCCGCCCGCCGCCCGCCCGCTCGCTGCTGCCGCCGCCGCCGCCACTGCGGGCGAGGTGACCATTTATGGCAAAGGGGGACTCGACCAGAGGCAGGAAGAGCGCAGCGCCTCGCTCCCCCATCCCGCCCGCTTGCCCCATCGCGCGCCGCGCCGGGGGGACCCCGCTGGAATCGCCCCGCCCCCCTCACGCCACCCCACCTCCTGGAGAAGTGGGGCACAGAGAGGCGGTGGCGACAGCAGCAGCGCCCAGAAATCCCTCTTGCGCGCCGTCCCTCTTCTTCCTCCCAGCCAGGACGCCGGGGTTCCTTGGGCTGTGCGCGAGGCTTTGGGGGCCAGGATTCCTGGGTTCCCTGGCAGGAAATGGAGCCTAATGGCTTAGGGGTCGGAAAGTGGGTTCTGTGGGGAAGAAGGGGGTTTCGTAAGTGGGAGGGAGGGAGGGAGGGGGAGGGAGTCCTGGGTACCGGGACAGGCGCCCCCATCCTTTTTGGCTCCGTAGGCGCATTTTTTTGAAAGGATGTCATGAGCCGGGGATTTGCCCATTCACCGAACTGCCCTGGTAAGCACCAGAAGACGCATTTCTTAGAAAGCAAACTGGTGGGACTTCAGAAAGTTATTTGGCAAGGACCTAAATCTAAGGTTAGGCTCTGAGCTCCCAAACATTCTTCGCAAACCGCCGCCTCTTTTGCAACATCCATGCTGCACAAGGCCAGCAGATGTGGCTTGAGCCGGCAGGTCCCTTGTCGAAGAAACAGTTTACAAGCAGAGGTGCGGATCAGAGCCTCAAACGCCACGTGCCCGCGCAAAGCACAGCAAAATCTCGCAGGGGGCAACGAATCACAAATCCAAAGACTGCCTAAAAAAGTGAAAAACATAAACCAGACAACACACAAATGCAGCACAGGCAAACCCTGACCCTGACCCAAATCCCTCCTCACTAACCCCCCATGCGTTCTGCCATTGCCACCTTCGCTTTTTCTTTTTTCTGTGTGGCCGGGCATGTTGGCAGATGCGGTGTCAGAAAGCAGCCCTGATCTTCTGGAGGGCTGGAGCCCTACGCTCTGGCAGGCCATGTGCCCCACCACCCAGCTCTCAGATTTCAGGCACTTGCTGAAATATACCATAGGTACAGGAACCCTGATCACCTATGTTGAATTGGATCCCCCATATCTGGCTTTTTGCCAGTATGCACTTCATCTCCTGCTGTCCCCCACTTTTAATCTTTCTGCCAGAGGTTTTCCCTGAAATCAAATGCCCTCTACTCTGCAGTTCACACATCCCATTTTTACAAACACGTGTGCTGGTTAGAAACACTGGCTTTTAAAGTCCCACTGAGAGAGACTTTAATAAATTAGCATATGCAATCCTGTGTGATTTTCCTTTCCTGGGGGCCTGTGTTCCCCATCTTTCTGGTACCTAGTGCTACCCCTGCATGCTGGGCTGCAGGATGGCATTGGAGGGCAAGAATGCATTGTGCTGCTACATTTTTAAGAGAGTAAAATGCACCGGGTTCTCATACAAAAATAGATAAGGTACCCTCCAGGTGTGGTAATTACAGTTTGATGTCTTTTCTCATGCAAAATTAACTTTATGAGGAAGCCCAGATTTAAAAATTGGCAAGACAACATTTGGTTGGCTGACTTGGAAGGACAGACAAGTTACTTTGGATCAACTTGTCAGTCCTGACGATAATTTTTTGAAATTTTCTGCTCTGAGTGGCAAATATAAAGTTACCTATCCATTTCTTAGTTTTCTTAATTAAGAAAACTAAGATCATGGCATCAAGTCCTCTCACTTCCTGGCAAATAGATGGGGAAGAAATGGAGGTAGTAACAGATTTTATTTTCCTGGGCTCCAAGATCACTGCAGATGGGGACTGCAGCCAAGAAATTAAAAGATGCTTGCTCCTTGGAGGAAAGCTATGGCAAATCTAGATGGCATATTAAAAAGCAGAGACATCACCCTGCCAACAAAAGTGCATATAGTCAAGGCTATGGTTTTCCAGTTGCAATGTATGGCTGTGAAAGCTGGACCATAAGGAAGTCTGAGCACCAAAGGATTGAGGCCTTTGAATGGTGGTGCTGGAGGAGACTCCTGCGAGTCCCTTGGACCGCAAGGCGATTAAACCGGTCAGTCCTAGAGGAGATCAACCCTGACTGCTCTTTAGAAGGCCAGATACTGAAGATGAAACTCAAATACTTTGGCCACCTAATGAGAAGGAAGGACTCCCTGGAGAAGAGCCTAATGCTGGGAACAACAACAAGGCAAAAGAAGAAGGGGCCGGCAGAGGATGAGGTGGCTAGATAGAGTCACTGAACCAGTTGGTGTGAGCTTAAGTGGACTCTGGGGGATGGTGGAGGATAGGAAGGTTTGGAGGAATGTTGTCCATGGGGTTGTGATGGGTCAGACACGACTTCGCAACTAACAACAACATCCATCTCTTGGGATTTAATGCAACATAAATGGATTTTCTGTGCTCTTTTGACAAGTATAAGCTAATAATACACCACTGGAAGGATAAATGGCCAATCATACAATAGGCAGAGGATTTAATAAAATTTTCATTTTTTTAATGAGTGGCCCTTTGGTGCAATCTACATATGGATATTTGGAGTGCCTTTGTTGAAGTATACACATACTTTTTAAATTAGTGTTATGGTTCTTTTAAAAATTTTACCCCCAAATTTCAATGCTTTAGCTTTACTTTTTCTTATTCTCTGATAGTACTATCTGGTTGTTTTTGCATTGCACAATAACACTAAAATTACTTTAAAAATCACGGGGGACAGGTAGGTTGACAGATGTCAAAAGAGGGTCTGCTGACATCGTGCTGGAAATCCCAGTACTAGGGGACTGGTGCATTTGGGAAGCAGCCGGAGTGGAATTACTGAAAGCTTGAATTTATTTATTTATTTTATTTAAAACTTTTCTATGCCGCAACAAAGCCTCAGGGTGGCTCACAACAAAAACAAAAACAAACAAAATCATACAAAAATTTATACACTAAAAATATTAAAACCTGGTGCATCTCGGCTTAAAATTTTTTAAAAATCCTACATAATAAATTAACACTTAAAATAAGTTTTAAATAAAAAGGTCTTAGCCTGGCGCCGAAAAACAAATAACGACTGCACCAGGCGGACCTCTCTGGGGAGCACATTCCATAGGTGGGTAGGAATTCCTGGGTAGGAAGCTCCTGAATACAGACACCTGCCTCACTGGCTTTTATCTCTAGGATGTGGAAGGGGTTACCTTTGCACATAGCAGGTATGCTATGGGTATGGTAATATGAAGCAGTAGGAAAAATAGGAGGTGTGAACTTTTAAAAGGCGGTAATCTTATGCACACTCTTCCTGTGTATAATCCCTTTTGATCGTGGTGTGGCTGGCTTCTGAGTAGACACGGACAGGACAGCACAGCAAATTACAACCCAGATTTTGAGTACCAGGAATCCATCTGTGACAGTCAAATGTGTATGGTCCATGCACATACACAAATGCATTCTCATTTTCTTTCTTCTCTCACAAGTGCAAACAACATGTATGTGTAACATATATATTCGCACAGGGTGGTCTGTCTACTCACTTTGCCTGCTCTTCGATATCATATCTGTTTGGACAAGACCTAACAGCTCTTGCATTCCAGGTGCCAAAATGGGGAATGAGATGTGCAGTTTTTCAGTCTAGCAGAGGTCATGAGGTCTTTGGACAGAGGGCAGGTTTGGCTGAGATGCAGCTGGGAAACATGAGGTGAGGAGGTGGGGGACAGATGTGGATTTAACCTTTTAGCCAAATGTGCTTCTTTGATTCAGAGGATGTTTACAGGAGAGAAGAAACACAGGATATAAAAGGTGTGTGCCAAAAAAGGCCAGAGAAGGGAGACAAGAGAGAATATTCAAATAGACATAAACAGGAACATTAAATAATGTCCAGTTGGTTAAGATGGGACAGGAGGTGACTGTTTGGCAAGAATCATCTTTCGGTGTGTCCATGATTTGATAGCCTCCATCCTGAGTTTCACTTCAATATAATTTTGTTAACCAATATTCTTATTTTCTTTTTACAGAGAAAGCAGAGAAAGGACAGGTTTGACACTGACAATGAGAACTAGTGACACAGATTGGGGTGGATGCTTTGAGCCAGGAAGGCCCTGTTTCAAACCACTTCAGTCATATATTCACGGAAGAGTATAAAGTGGAGATGGGGTTAATAGGAGGAAATACTGGAGGAGGAAAAGCTCTTCTCCTCTCTACCAGACCCGGAACCCCATTCACAGGAAGCAACCTGCCAAGTGATACAGCACAAACCTGCAGTTAATTGGATTAACTTGTATGAAATATCTCTCTCTACCTGAGACCCTGAAAAGCCACCGCCAGCCTCCCCCTTCCAGGTGTTTTGAACTATAATTCCCATCGACCCTAGTTAGCATGGTCAATGGCCTGGAATGCTGGGAGCTGAAGTCCAAAATAACTGAAGGGCACCAGGCTGGAAAAGGCCGGAGCAGACACTACTGGGCAGGCAGGTGGAATTTCACATGAGACAAGGCAGCTTCCCGTTTTTGTACACAGTTATAATTGCATTTGTGAGGAGACTGTTTCCATTCTTTTTTTACCTATGGGACATTCTGGCCACAGCCATTAGATCCAGTTGCACTTTGAGGCAAGCGACTTGTATTTGGTCACCTTTCCACAGTATGACATAATAGCACCAATGCATGAGGGAAGACTGTTGTCTGGATTACAAAGAGAACGGATGTGAAGAAGCTTGAATAACTTACAGCATCATATTAATTATAATCATATTAAATGGGGATCTGTGTGACTTTGCATCAAACCAGATTTTGAAACTGTAGCTCATTTTAATATTTTGGAATGCAGCTGCATGTGTGACAATGAAATTTTGAACTTTCTGGATTTTCTAGGCAGGAATGAACACTTTTGAAGGGGACTTTTTTTAAAGACTTGGGCAAGGCACAACAGAAAAAAGCTCGGGCCACTCCATAAGCTAGTAGGGCCAATGCTGCAGGGAGCAAAGCTAGCTCTCAGCACAGGTTAGTGCAGACATGTGAGCCTACCTAACATCCAGGCACGTGAGAAGTTCAAGCAGAGAGAAAAACAGGTCGCAGAGTGGCATGTTCGGCCTGGCTTACTTCCGCACCAAGCTGGTTAATTGAATGGCGATAGGTTTGAGGTCATTTGTGCTGACCCTGCTTCTCTGCTTTTCACAGGAGCCAGTCATGCCGAAATTAAGCAGGTGAGTCTGTTCTGGCAGAAATAAATGATACAAAAAGCTTCTCCTGTGCTGGCAAAAAAAGAAAAAAAAAAAGCCAAGACCAGGCGAGGAACAGAAGTAGCTACACAACCCAATCCATCTATAAAGCCTTCTTTCAAGCATCCCGGGGGAAAGAGTAGGATGTCTCGGCTGGATCTTCCAGTTGTAACTTCACAGCGAGCAGTAGGGGTTATACATTCAGTAGTAAACCAGTGGTGAGCTTCCTGCACCCAATAAATGCCACGGAAAAACCAGACAACAGCCAAGCCTCAGAAAGATGAGTGACAGAAAACAGGCCCAGGGCAGGGCAGGGCAGGGCAGGGCAGGAGAGAGAACTCAGTGGGAAGGGACCCTCTGCTTCCCATTCCCAGATGAACAAGGCCTGGAGCAACCAGGCGCGCAGGAAGTGGTTCCTCCCTCCCCCTCCCCCGTTCTCCAGACCATCTGGATGCAGTTATGAACAGGCGTTTCCTGTTCTTGGAGTGGGAAGGCAGTGGGGAGGGAAAGAACGGGCGAGGGGGCTTAGGAGGCCTCTCAATTCAATTCAAAGAGGCTTGCTTGGCATGACAGACACACGACTGGAGATTCCCACATCTTACTGCTTAACAACTTCCCCAGATGACCAGGAAAAGGGCCACCCTGGCCTTCCTTTATCCATTACTTGAAAGCTCCCAACCAGCCCATCCGTTTAAAGGATCTGGCCAGGAGGGAAAAATCACTCGGCTGATTTGCGGTATGCTGCATCCAGACAGAACCACAACGGCTTTGGCAGGGGCAACGCATTAATGTGAATTTTCATGGGCTGTTGTGAGAAACTGCCTCATTTCTCCTTTACTCACTGGTGAAAATAAGGCAAAGACACATGGAGCTTTGGAGCACCTCTTTGTTGTCAGTATTTCTCTATGTACAATAGCATATCTGCAAGACATTTCCCACAGGGCTGCACCTCCCTCTAGCCCAGGCTCCCAGTTCAAGCATCTCCTCTTCAAAGCGAGCACCTCATGCAAGCTGCCCATCTCCAGAAGAAGAGCAGCTCAGCAGTCTGCGTTTCCTTCTGCTGCTTGCTTGTGCCAGGTGGGCTGTCAGCCTTTTGCCAGGGAAGCTAAGCAGCATGGACCGAGTGTCTGCTCCCGAAAGCCACCTCCTCCCGCACTGTCTCCAAATCTATATCCTAAGTCAGGGGTTGTATCACCTGAGCAGCAGCCACTGAAAGAGAAGTCCCACCATGGTATGTCTCCAAATGTGGTCCCTTCCTGGCACGCTCGCTATCAGAAGGACACACGGATGCTTTTGATTTCTACCAGTACCAGGCCAACATGAGGGCTGGCTTTTGGACTGCCCTTGACAGGATGGAATCTTCTCCAAAGTAGTGCTTGTGATCCCTCTAGATAAAACCTGAACTCACATTTTACCATCTGACTTTTCTGCCCTTCAATTCACTTCTCCCACTCCCACATTTCTGCTTCACCTGTCCCCAACTTCTTTTCTAGCCCTTTGCAATCCCCTCCAACCGAATACATACTTTATACCAAGGGGCACTCTTTTATCCACTCTGAGCACAACGGGAGCATCCACCAGCCCAGACTACCCTGCTTTGAGTGTTATCCCTTTTATTCCCCTCACCCTCCAGCCGACATCATATTGGGATGTTCCATTAACACACTGACACTTCAGTTGCAAATGTGAGACCGGAGCACAAGGAGATAAGGGCCTTAATCCATCAGCCCAGCTGGCTCTCTGAACCAGAGCCCCATGGGGACTCCATCACCACCCGAAGCACCTCCTCAACTAAGCCACTGGGACTGCCAGCTGATCGGAGCAGCTCAGCCAATGCAGCAGCTCGGAGAGTGGGCTTTGCCACCTCCTGGAGAGCGTAGGCGACGCATCGCTGAAGCAGACAGGGCCGGTTCTGCCGTTCAGCCAAGCAGTACACTTCGCCAATAGTCCCGGGGCACAGGAAGTCCTGGCTTAGAGCGTCATCAACCAGAGACTGGAGCTCAGGAAGGAGATACTGTCCGGCAACCTTGAAAATGTCTTCAGCGAGGGCAAGGGGGAAAGGCATGCCCAACACTGGGCAGGGCTTTCCACGGCAGCCATGGAGAAAATGTGTAAGAGCCAGGAAGGGATCAGGAGATACGTCCCGAAGTGTCACCGTGGTATGGCGTGCCTCTGCGAAGCTGCCACTCAGCATGGCACAGAAGACCTCCGAGGCGCCGCTGAAGGCCTGGCGCAGGGCAGGCACCGAGATACCAGCATCAAGCTGAAAGTGCAGGTCAGCCCTGCCTTCCTCCATGAGACGGGAGTACGAGCAGGGCAGCGGGGAATCCAGGCGGGGCCGCTTCAAGGCGGGGGAGAAGACCCGGGCAGGGCTCTGCACTTGGGAGCCCAGAAGGAGCGAGAGTGAATCAGAAGCATAGAAGACAAAATGGGGGGCCGGGTCTTGCACCAGGGCCCGTACCAGGAGACGCAGGCCGGAATGGTCCAGCAGAAGCTTCCGACAGAGGGACTCCTTCCTGCAGCCGAAACGAGAGACAGGAAAGGAAGACACATCATCCCCTTGACCTTCAGCTAGCTCCCATCCCTCCTCTCCCATCCTCTGAAAATTTGTGCTCCAGACAACATTCTGCTGGCTACCTGGACCCTTCTCTCTAAAGCTCTCAAAACTGTATTGAGTTTCTTAGCATTAACGTGTACTTTTTTTTCAACATCACAACCACCAAATTTCAACAATACATTTCAGTCTAGTGGATTCTTGCAGCACCTGAGTTTATGTCAGGAGTGGTGTTTGCAGCCCTCAACCCAAATGCCTGAGGCCGTGGATGTTCAAGGCCACAAGGAAACTTTGCCCACCAGTGGCCACCATTCACTCAGGCCAGCTGCAGCCATCTTGCCACCCACTGCAGCAGGCAGCAGCCAGAGAAAGCAAAGCCATTTCCCAGCCTTTGTCCCATCTGAATGTCCGTCAGGTACAAGGGAAGAGCAGACTGACCTGCAGATCAGGGGAATGGCAAGGGCACAGGCCACCTGGTCTGATTCAGAGCCCGACAGCAGCATGTGGTGGAGCACGCCCTCCCCGAAGCGGGACTCCGCCTGGACACAGAGGTTCATCAGCAATGTCTCTCCTGCGGAAGACAGAAAGAGCGGAGACCACATTCACGTCACAGTGCCCCCGTCTGAGGCAGGGCCTGCATCAATGCACAAGCTAGGCAGCCTAAGGTTAGGACCTCCCCACACACTGCCCAGCCAGCCCCTTCCCTATTGCAAGAGCTCTGTTCCCTTTATCTTACTCGAGGCTCCACTTTAGAACTGACTTGAAAGGCCCATTAGTCTAGGGAGCCAAGCAGCTCTCTCCCTGGGGAAGGGGACCTTTCACGTTACTTTACGCCAAGGGTGGGCAACACATGCCCCAAGGGCTGGATGCAACCCATCCATGGTCTTTTGTGTGGCTGTCCTACCGGTATTGAATTTGCTGTGCTGACAGAAAACACCAGTGGCTTTGTGTAAAGACAAGCTGCACACCTCCTTTTCAAGCAAAATCACTGGGTTTTTGCTGACACGCTGCCAAATCCTGGCTGAAAATCTGGCGGGGGCAGCATGGTCAGAGCCCCACATAGGTGTCTGCCAGTCCCCAGAATTCCCCTCTCTCTCCTTTACACATTCCCAGTGCAAACCCCAGCACTGAAAGGGTGTTCTGGGCCCAGGGCCTGCTGAACCTGGGATAACAGAACCTACTGTGTTGGTGAAAAGAGATCAGGAATCCTGGTATGTCAGGCAAGGTCACTTGGCTTCCCAATGACTCAAACAGCTACTTAGTGGAACACCCCAGTATGGATTAGGAAGATGGGAAACCCATGAGATCCCAAGGTTAGCCCGAGAACAGCTCAGAAAAACACGCCATGCAGACCTGAAACCCCACAGAGATGGCAGAGACCACACATACCAAATTCCTTAAATCTCCTGGTGTCAGGCAGTCCGGCACCGAGACTGGCTGGCCCTTCCTCTTCATGTCCGGCTGTGACAGCAGAAGTGGCCTGCTCAGGAGACACGCCCAGGATTAACCAAGCCCGGATGAGAGAGGCCCCATAGGAACGCACAAAGGCCTCCAGGCAGGACGGGTTGCAGGTGAGGCGATGCAGCAGCCGCAGGCAGCGCGATGAGGGGCCGGGGCTCCCAGTGATGTAGCGCAAAAGTCCCTGCAGTGTGACTGGCGTCACCAAACTGCGGCTGGGATCCTCTGCTTGAGAAAATCGTGAAAGGAGCATCAGGGCAGGGGCTTCTGGGGCATATAACTCTCTGTCGCCCCCATGTGGGGAGAAGGAGAGCGGCAGAGCCAAGGACAGCAACTGTGATGAGGCCTCTCCAGCAGGGCGCGATAGCTGAGGGGGTGTTGTTTGCTCAGATGTTGACCGAAATTTGGCACGACGTTTCCAGCAAGTGGTAGGCATTCTGTATTCATCAGGAGAAGCTGGGAGATTCTGAACATTCAGCTTTTGGGGGACCGTGCACACCTCTTCTGTGATCAGTGCTTTGGCTACAGGTCTGGGTGTCGGTGGATTTTGGTCACTCTTGCTTGGAATTGAGGTTGTTGGAACTAAGTGCAAGTTACTGGGCCTGGGTTCATTTTGGTCAGTTTCCGACGCAATCCAAGCTAACTGCTCTACCTTGACACCTCCTTTTCCGGAATTGATCACCTCTGAAATTTGCATTGCCCCTGAAGATGATAAGCTTTGCCACTTCAACACATCCTGGCCAGGAAGCCCCTCCACTAAAGTTGCCTCTTGCGATGCTCTCACCAGCTCCGTCTGCTGCTTATTGGTCCCAGCTGCTTCTTGCTCCTCACTCCTGTCTGAGTTTGACATCTCAAGGACGCATTCGGAATGGAGACTTTCGGGTTCGTCCAGCACAGGAAATGCCCTTGGGCCTAGACCCTGCTCTGGATGAATTCCATCTCCCTCTGCTGGGTTTGCTGCCTCGGAAGCACTTGGCTGCCCCACCAGGGACATATCCAACACCGGAGAGTTTAAGAAGTCTGGGGATTCAGTCCTAAACCGCGTTTTGACTCCAGACATGGCAGGGCAGGGCCCCAGGGAGTCATCCTGTAGTTCCCGGTTGGGGCTGATGCTTCCTTGGGTATCCAATTCTGAAAGGGTGGTATCAGGGGACCACTGTGGGGAAAGGTCCCCTGGACTGGCAATAAAGCCTTCAGAGAGAAGCCAGGATCTGTTTTGTGTGGAAAGGAGATGAAACACGGAGAAACAAATCATGAGACATAAAAGGAACAAAAGAGAGAATTGGAGGAGGGGGGAGGGATTGCAGGAACAAAGACTGATGCTAATGACCTTTGCAAGTGGTAGTCATGGGGAAGAAAAATTGGAAAAGATGGCAAATGGCAGCTCCCAGATTAATGGCAAGCAGGCTCCAGGTATCTGTCGACACATCCGTGAAGCCACGTCCAGAGGCCGCTGCCAATACGACAAGCCTCACGGGCTACTGTGTGTGGTGGTGCATGGCTGAAGCCCTGAAAGGGAACAGCACAGGTTCCTCTTGCTACGTACTACCACACGTCGCAAAGACTGCGTCAAGAGGCCCGGGTCGAGACACAAGGACAGCCTGATGTCACCACCTGCGCTGCCCTCTACAGCAGCGCGATCCCCGTGAACGGAGCAAGCATGGTCTGCAGGACACAGAGAAAGTCAGCCCCCGTTGGAAGAGAAGCCAACCCCTGAGTGTCTAACTCTGTGAGTGCAGAGGAGTTGGAGACAAACAAAAAGCAACTCCACAGAGCTGGGACAGTTGAGGGAGAGGTGATGTCCCTGCACAGCTCCTCTCTCTCCCCCCTCGCACCTGCAGCCCACCTATCCCGTCCTGGTAAGTTTGCCTTTTCATGTTCCCCATGGTCGTGTTAAGTGTCCTGCTGGGTAAACTAGAAAGAAAGGCAAAGACATTTCATTTGCATGAAGCATTCTAAGAGCAGAGTCGAGTATTAGAGTGTGCATGCATGTTTGCATTTCACTGGCTCAGAATCTATATTTTTTGAGTGCAGGGAACTTACAGGCTTCATTAAATGTTAAGAGCCAACTTTAAACTCCAACAGCTTTCTGAAAGCACTGCACCTCTTTCTGATCTTTTAGACAAGGCCCAAGCCCAGATGGTCACCAGCTCAAGGCTTCACTTACCTGAGACGCTGGAAGCTGGAAGACTCTTCTCCAGGTGTAGCCTGGTCCCCACGACGCCCTTCAGAGGGGAAGTCAAACGATGCTGCGTCTCGCTCATCTTCCTGTTCCTCCTCTTCCTCCTCCTCCCGCCGCTGCTGCAGCGGCTGCTCCTGGCCCCTCCACTGCCCCTGTGCAGCCAGCCTCGCAACCAGCAAGGGCACCAGCCCTCCCACCTGCAGCACCTCCAGGGCCTCCTCATCGTAGAAAAAGGCGACGAAGGCCAGCACCACGCGGGCGTGGGAGGTGCTCTGACATCGGTCCCGCAACAGGGAGAGCAGCAGCTCCAGCCCCCCGGCCTCCCGCACCCGGCATCTGTTGACCGCCTCCCGGCACAGCAGGCACAGAGCCTTGACCAAGTGATGGAGAGGTGCCCCCGAGCCCTGCCGTCGCCGGATCTCCCCCACTAGCACTTCCACCCCCCCGGCATTGCCTACCGCGGGCCTCAGCATGCCCTGCAGGCAGAGGTTGGCCAGGGCCGCAAGCGCAGACTCCCGCATGGCCCGTTTGTCGTGACTGGCCAAGGCCACGAGGGGCACCACCCCGCCCCCCAGGCTGAGCTGCTCCGCGCAGTCCCGGCTGCAGCCCCGGGTCAGCTCCAGGAGGGCGCGCAGGGCTGCCACGGCAAGGGCGGCGTCATCCAGAGAGGAGGCCAAGCGCTCGGCGACAGGGCGGACCGCCCCCTGCTGGGCCAACACGAGGCGATGAGCAGGCGTGTCCGCCAGGTAGCGCACCGCCCTGATCACGCTCTGCAAGCACTCGCTGTCCTGGGAGGTAGTGAGGACCTGGATCAGGGGGGGCACTGCTCCTGCAGTGGAGACAGAGGCAAGAGGGAGGGGAGGGGAGGGGAGAGCCAGTCAGTCCTGACTTGGGACCGCACGCATCCCCACGCGTTCTTCACCGCCCGTCAACAGAGCCGCCTGCCGCAACAGGGTCACTGTGAGCAACAGGTGTTAAGGGCGACAGCATCTTGTCAGGGGATGCCAATTCAGCTGACTAGGATTCCTCCATTTCCCCCCTGCCCCTTTTATCAAGGATTGTATGAATGTTGGTGCTTGAGCCTTGCACAGAGATATCTGGCATTCGCATCCCAAGCACGCCTTGCTATTCAAAGCCAGCTTCTGGCCATGTTACTGCTTTGTCCCAACTCAAATGCAGTGTGTGCGTGCGGGGGGGGGGGGGGGGGGGGGGCTGTTTGCTGTTGCTATTATTTATTTCATTAAAACATTTGTACGCCACCCAATTGTGCCACAGCACCTCTGGGCAACTCACACGATAAAAACACAATAAAAACCAGTAACACATTAAAAATAAAATAACAATAAAATACAAAACAGAAATACAAAACAAAGGTCTTATGGCATTAGTTATTAAAATATTTTTTAAAGGAAGGTCTTTGCCTGGACCTGAAAAGAAAGGAAGGAAGGAAAGGGCCAGGTGATCTCCTTGGGAAGAGCATTCCAAACATGGGGAGCAGCTGCAGAGAAGGCCCTCCTCCTAGCGGCCACCCCTCTCCACTCCCTAGGGCATGGCTCACACAGGAGGGCCCCCTGCATAGATCCCACAGGCTGGGCAGGCACATACGGGTGCAGGTGCTCCCTAAGGTAACCAGGGCCTAACCCTATTACTAGACATTCAGGACCGTTAGGAATCCTAATGCAGGTCACCCAGAGGTCCACCTGGAGATCCTGTAGGGAAACACCTTGCTTACAAAAAGTCCAGGTCTGTCCCTGACACCCCCCATAACTCCTGCCTGGAGAGCTATTACCAGTCAGCATCACCATGCTGGGCTAGATGGGCTCAGTATAAGGCAGGATGAGGCAGCTTCTCATTCTTGTTCCTATATTCCACAGCTGCTTTAGACCAGGATCTAAAGCCCGCTGGCTATTTTGGCCTGCAATGCCCATCATCCCTAGCAACAGCTGTAACCCATGAGAAGGGATGCTGAGTATTACAGATCAGAATGACAGGCCGACTGCAAGTTGCCCGTCCCTGTTTTACACCAAACTTGAGCATCAGTTATTAAAATGTTTCATTTATTTTGCATGTCAAGCTTTCAAAGCACCCTGCTGATATTATCTCAGAAAATTCTGCAACAAAATAGTTCAATGTCATTCCTGTATTCAGGAGATGCAGGCAAGCTGGGGAAAACAGAAGCTTGCCTAAGCTTACCTAGCGAGGCTGGAATCAGGATAAACCATGAACCTGGGCTCCCTGCTCAGACCATTCCCCACCTGCTACACTCGCCCTCGTCAACCAGTCACTAGCCATTAAGTACAGCCAGGCTCTTGGGAATATGAAAGCCTGTATCATTCTGACTCACAGAAAAGGGGAGCAGGAAGAGGAAAATGGCATCACTCCCCCTTGAATGAGAGAAGAACGAAAAAGCTTGCCATCCTTTGGAGTAGCAATATTATACCAGCCCTTGGTATACAGTGCAGACCAGTGATGTGGGATAGAAAATTATCCGATGCTTTGTTTTTTGGTGGAAAAAATTCCGTGTCATGGGTTCATTCATACAAATTAATGGATGCCCATTGCAATTACCATAATAGGCAAAATTGGTGGTTTCAAAGCTCTAATTAATGTTTTTTCAGGTGATTATAGCTAGCAAGCATGTGAGACAATACATTTCAGAAAATATATTTGACACTGAAAGACAAATATGTTTCCGTCTGATAATGAATTAATAAATTGTGACAGTAAAACTGAAGGTGTCCCAAAATCTTTTCTGGACGTGAGCTGAGTTCTGTTGAAATAAATGGGGAACTGTCAGCATATCATGAACAGTTCTAAAATGAATTCATTTTCAGTACCTTTCTTTGTTTTCCTTTAAATTTAAACAATGCAAGAGAAGTATATGCATTTATTTAAATGTCTATTAGTATTCCACTAAATAATTTTATTTTCATTATAAAACATTTAAATCACATTAAGTGTTCTTTAATTTTCCCCTTCAATTATTTCAGGTCAAACACTTGTGGTGTACTGGGTAAAAAAATTAACAGATCCATTAATCTAAAAACAGAACAATCAATCTAAAATCTATTTTTTAGATTTGTTCTCTAAATAGATAAAATTAACATACTAATGGCATCTCTCTTATGGAAGGCTGAGCAACTTGTGGCCCTTCAAATTCTTTGTTCTGTAACTGCCATTAGTTGGTACAGTGGTTAAGGGAGCCAGTATAGCATTGAAGTTAAGAGTGTGGGACTGGGACTCAAGAGATCCGGGTTCTAGTCCCTAACCAGCCATGGAGCCAACTGGGTGACTTTGGGCCAGTCACAGATTCTCAGCCCAACCTACCTCAGGCGGTTGCTGTTGTGAAGATAAGATTGACAGAAGCAGAACTGAGTTCATTGAAAGGGAAAAAAAAGGTGGGGTATAAATATAATAAATAATTTGGTCCTAACCAGAATAGTGAGAGATGATGGGAGTTGTAGGCCAAAGCCCTTGCGCTAAGCTGGAAACTGATCTTTTCTTGTATAAGTTAACCTAATATGCATTGAAAACTGTTCCAGAAAATATTCCAGGAAAATCTCCATTTCAAAATTTTCTAGAAAACCCACATCACCTCTACAGATCCCAAATCCTATATCCCACAACAAATCCAACCCTGCATTCCCACCCAGTACACCATCCCACATTCAACCTGCTTCGTGTATGGCCTGGCAGTTCTCCGCGTCTACAGCCAAGTTGCCGAGAGCCCGTGCTGTCCGATTCTGGATGCTTTCCACGGCAAGCGATTTCAGGATAGTAACTAGAAACACACAGAATACCAGGACAGGAGGAGAGCAGAATACCACAACTGTAAAACTGCAAACTGCTTCCAGAGGAGTAGCTATGTTAATCTGTTATAGTGGGGGGGAAAGGAGTCCTGCAGGCACAATCCTATGCATATTAAGATTTCTCTAAGTCCTACAACTGCTACCACCCTGGGACTTGTAGGGCATTTTCCTGTCTAAATATGCATAAGATTGGACCCTTAACTGCCTTTCTATCACTTTCAGTTAAAAAACTGGAGTGGGAACAGAATTTTAAAGAGGGTCTCATTTGCTGACAGCCTGCAACCACCCAATCCGGAACATCTAATACAGACTGCAACTCTTCTGATCAAGATGTATCACACTTCTACACCGCAGCAGGAATGGGCAGGCTTCACCTCTGACTGGCACACTTTTCCCTACCTCCATTAAAATTAATGGGGAGATAGTACTCTATTTACTTTAACATAGATGGAGAAAAGGGTATCCTGCCAAAAACAGATAGTGGGAGAATTTAGCCACCATCCCACAAAGGACCAATAATTTTTTGAGAGGGACCATCTTCTCCACTCCAACTAAAATCAATGGACTGAACCTGCTCCTCTGATTTTAAGAAAAATGGGGGTAGAAGCTCACTGCCCAAAAAAAAAAAAAAAAAAGGTTGGGAGCAGGGAAAAAAATACAAATCCAGCAAAGGGGGACAAGAAAAGTTATAATTCAGAAGAGTGAACATCTAGAAAAGTAGGAATCAAGCATGGGGGACTCACAGCATTTTATCCTCCCGTGTCAGTTTGTGGCTGCCCCTGGGACACGTCTTCCAAAATCTCAAATGTGCCTACAGGCTCCAAAAGGTTGTCTGTCCTTATACTAGGGGATACTTCAAGATAACCACAAGGGCAAAAGATTGCCACCAACTTAACCTAGCAAGAAAACACCAACCAGGGCTAATTTGCACGTAATCCTAAATGCAGGCATATTTAAAGTAGCCCCAAAGCCTGCAATCAAAGAGGAGCCGAAGAGGTGAGGAGCACAATAGGAGAACTCCAGCATATTTACATTGATTTAAGACCATGAGTAGCCTGCACCTTTCCCCATTATCCAGTATCGAAGGCTGAAGCTGTGGCGTTCGTATGTAAACAGACAGATGGCGTTCCAAGTGCAGAAAAAGCAGAAAGCAATTACAAGCCTGAGCATATTTCCAAACTGTATCTCTTGAAGGCCTATGCAGGCCTTTCAGTGCACATTCCAATGCTCACAAGTTCAAATCGAGTTGCTCATAATTTCACAAATGTTCCAGGGCAATATGCAAGGCTTCATCTGACATGCAACCTGCAATCCTCAAAAACAGTCTTCTTCAACCTACCGCCCCTCCAGTGTTTCAAACTACAACTCCCAGCATCCCTCAATCAGCACAGCCACTAACTTGGAGTTCAAAGGCATCAACAGGGCCACACATCCCCTCCATCTTGCATTAAGAATGATGTCATCTGATGCTCCTGGAAGCCACTTCAGTACTTCTATGCCAGTCTTCACCGATGTGGCACCTTTCTGATATATTGAAACTCCTGCGGCTGGCTGGAACATGCTGGGATTTGTAACCTAACACATCCAGAGAGTTCCAGGTTGTGAAATGGGGCTCAAGATAGTCTGATATGACGCATATCTTCCTTTCCAATTCTAAGGGGCAAAGTCTGACATTTCTGCCTGACAACCTTCAATGCCCTTCAGCACACAACAAAGCTTAAAGGAACATCATCCTGTTTGCTTGGATCGCAATGCTCTCCATTGCACAGGCACCCAAAACTACTGGCACCCTGTACGTGAGAACAGGAAAGCCCTTAGGGTGAAAGGCATGCAGCTATCCTATGCGGTGCTCCCACAGACAGGCAAAGGGGGTCCGGGGTATCCACAGGCACAGGGATTTCTTTAAGTACTCTGGACCCCCACTTGCTCATGCCTGCACCCCGACGGGCAGACACCCCTTGACGGGCAAGTTAAAAAGCCTCCTGCCGCACAGCCAGTACAATCGACGCTGGCACCTAAGTGGATCAGGGTGCCTCAGCTTTATTTGGGGGGTACCCGAACCCCGCGTTTGGCCCACGCAACGTGCCCGCTTTCATCACTCCTCTTGAACCCTCTCCCCCAGGCCGCCCATAATGGGGGTTCACTCACCAAGGAGCGGGATGCCCCCAAGCTCGCGCACCTGGGTGCGGCTGCCCCCCTCGGTGCAGCAGTTCCCCAGGATGCTGAGGGCAAGGTCCAAGGTGCGCCGCGGCCGCGGGGCGCCAGCCAGGACCCCCAGGAGGGGCGCCAGCCCCCCACGGGTCCTGAAACGGGCAATGCCCCCCGCCTCCTTGATGTGTTGGGTCCTGAGAGCCAGCAAGGCCCTGCCTAGCCCCGGCTCGGTCCCCTTCTGTAGTTGGGCCAGACAATAGCCCAGAGAGGCGGTGGGGGTGGTAACCCCACCCCCCGTACCCCTTAAAGCAGGCACCGCCATCTTGGGGAGAAACCCCTGCCCAAGGGAAAGGGGGTGGAGGTTAATACATCAAAGCGGCACGGCCCGGGACACTGTGGGAATTGTAGTGCTTTCCCCATATAGACAAAACCGGAAAAGACTACAAATCCCGAGAGCCTCCCAGGTCTTCCTCCTAGCCGTAAAGGGAGTGATGTATGACGGTGGCTGTAGTGCCTTTTCCTCCCACTACTCATGAATCACAAGAAACGTCAAGAAAAAGGACATCAACTCCCATGGAGCCGTGCGCCACCAAATAGCAGACGTGTAAAACGTAGCATGATGGGAACTGAAAGAGCACGACTACAGATCCTGTAGGGGCCGCTGTCTGGGGAAGTTTTGGAAGGACTGCGCCACGGGATTTGTAGTTTCACCACTCTATTGTGCACGTCTGTACTGTTTTGTAATCAGACGTTTTCCTATTTTGTTAAGAAGAAAGACGCATAAGGATTGATACAACTTTGGGGTGATCCTTGTGAGCCTCAAGCAAACCATATATTTTAACGCTTGCCTCGGAGCACAGTAGATTTTACTCGTTAGATCAGGGTGTTGTGCTGATGAGGATTGCAACATCTATCTTCAGAATAAATGACAAAGTAACGTGCGCAACAGAGGGTTAAAATCAGTCCTTACAGTACAGAAGTACTGTATTTACCTAAAGGCAAATCCTAGATACAGTTAGACGCTGTAGGGCTTCTTTCCGTCTAACCGTGCATAGGACGGTGCCTTACCTTTAGGGAGAGAGAAGAATCTGTGCAGTCCTGTGCAAGTTTACTTGGGAGTAAGCCTGACAGTATTGGTCTTTATTCGATGCCACAAGACTCTTCGTGGGGTTTGTGGCAACAGACTAACACAAATGCCTCCCTGAAATGTGTGGTGGGGTTTTACATGTCAGAGCTCTTTTACATAGAAACGGTTAAACCAGGTACAGCATATATAAACCCCCTCACCTGAGGGCTGCATGTGCCCTCAAGGCTTTCACTGCGATCCTGTGAGTGCCCAGCCTCCCCACGGTTGCCAATTTCCCCCATTGCACCATGATGATTGCCAGCCTTCTCTCCACCCACTCTTGCGGTGACCCAGATTTCAAGCACACTTTACTTATCAAGCCACTCTTTCTTACCAGCAAGAAAAGGGCGTCACTGGGTGAGAAGATGCATGCATGCGTGGCCCTCAGACCCTGAGCCAGCTGCAAAGATAGCACCCCTGAGCCAAACCATTCCATTTGTATCATAAATGCTCATCTGAGAGGGAACAGCCAACCTTGCAGCTCTGCTCACAACGTGCCCTGCTGAGTCAGGGTGTGGATCCAGGACAGTGTCTCCTTGGCGGAGGACAACCCCCTTGCTGGGTCCATCCTAGGCTACCTCCTAAAGAACTGGCCTCAGCTGGAGGCATCTTCACCTTGTTTGTGGAAGAGTTGAAGACACTTGAGTGGAGCTTGTAAACAGAGAGGTGATGACAATGTAAACTTTAGCAATGTTCAGCCACTAATCTCATGATGTGGATGATTACAAGGACCGTTGCAGTGGAGGGGAGAAATTCCCCAAGGAGAACAAGCAAGCACACGTTTTCTAAAAACAATCTGACCCACCAGGTCAACTTTATTGACTAGACAATCTGAACAAGTGTTGGCTAAACACAAAAGTTGAACAGAGCTGAGGGGCACTCATGTTCACCCTTGCAGCCAGGTTCAGACAAACATGGAAGAAACAGATCTAGGAGGAGGAAGAGGCGGCAACAGCAGGTGTTCAAGACCACCCCAGACACCCAAGAGAAGGAGATTGCGTGCCTTCCAGATGAGGCTGCCTCATTCAGAGAATAGTACTGGGGTTCACATATTGATGTCTTCCATTTGTAACTCTCTGTATTTTCCCATCAAGGTGGGATTTTTTTAAACCACAAAATGGACCGCTGGGGCTTCCCTTGAAGACAGTCTGGACTCTTCAAATGATCCAAAACAGGGCAGTGCAGTTGCTGATGAGGACCAGTTCTTAAGAACACAGCACACCGGTCCTCCATTGATTGAATTCTGGGGCGAATTCAAGGTTTTGACTAAGACATATAAAGCCCTAAACGGCTTGAGACCACACTATCTTAGGGAACTCCTTACTCCATGCATCCCTGTCCGTTGTTTGGAGGCCTTCCTACAGGTTCCTCTCCTTGGGGAGGGTAAAAGAGAAGCCGCAAGGAGGAGGGCCTTTTCCGTGGTGGCACCCCAATTATAGAACACCTTGTCATTGGAGATTTGTCAGGCACCTACTTTACTGAGTTTTAGGCACCCGAAAAAGGCACACCTACAGCACTACTACAACTATTTATATGACAGCACTGGTTTTAATTTTAATTTCATTTATTAATATTATTAATTTATATTTTGTATGATTGTATATATTGTGTTTTATCTTGTTTGTTTATTATAATATTTTAACTGAATTATTTTATTAATGTTACTAGTGACATTTTTATTGTAATGGCTGCCCAGAGAGCATAATACTAGTGGGCAGCTTTTATATAGACCAAATAAATAAATATCCAGTAAGGTGGGATGGGCAGAATAGCTATACAAGGTCTTCTGACTGGTAGTGTAAGGAGACTATCCAGAAGTGCCTGTAATGTTTGCACAGGACTTCTGTGTGCACATAGGTAGGGCTGACCCAGGACTTGCTGCTGAGGTACATAATGTATCGTGTGTAGTGTATACCTGACACACAAAACACTAAAAACCTCTCTCCCCTGCCCCATCAGTAAATATTTAATAACATTAAATATTAATTTAATAAACATTTTCCAAACATTTAATAAATATTTGGAAAATGAGCCATTTATTTCCCTTTCATGAAACTCAAAGTAGCACCTTGAAGTGACTTCCTCATTCTGCCTAATGTTCGGCTGGTCCCACACATACTCCAAACCACGTGTTTATTAATGGGGCTTGTGGTGAGAAAGGGGTGACCCAGTTTCCTCATGCCTCTGCCCGCAGTGGCTCTCCACACGGGGACCGTGTGTCACAGGAAAGTGAGCAAAGCCAGGGGGCTCATTTTGATTTTTCTGCTTCAGGTACAGCATCATTTGCTCCAGAACAGGTCAGACGTAGTTTCGGGAATATCAAACATGACTTCACATAACTTAGTTTAGTCAAATAAACTAATAAGCTAGGCTAAAGTCATTGTCAGTTCTGAGGGTCCCCTGAGAAACAAAGAAAAGCTGAAGCTGATCTTGGGCAAAGCTAGGTGGAAATGGAAGCTCAAGTCCAGCAGCAGCACTCAGCACCCTTGTGCAGCTACTGGGCCCTCCCCTCCCGCCCACCTACTCCGTTTGCCCAGGGACAATGAGGGGCATTGTGACACCCCTGCTACATCCCAGAGACTGGCACTGTGTTGTGGCATTGAAAAGACATTAAAGAGCTTGCAGGCTCACCCTCGTACTTGGTGCCAGCTTTGCAGTTATTGCAGGTAACCTTTCTCTGTTGTCCCCACCCCTCCACCCTGATGTGCTAGCTTTCTATATGCAGGTACTTAGGAGGAGGAGAATGTGGGGAGCATCCAAAAAGGACGTACCAGATGGTTCAGGGCATACGATAACTTCATTCTGCTCCTGAGTGTAGTTCAGTCACTGTCTATATTTCATTTATTTTAATGGGACCTCTTCTCCTTCCAAGGAGGGGTATAGAAGGAGCTATCTCATACTCACAGTGGCCCTATGGGGTAGACTGGGCTAAGAAACAGTTGCCCGAGGCCACACAGTGAGTTTCCTGAAGGAGCACCACTTTCAGGAGTCTCCCTCACTTCCACTCCAGGGCTCCAGCCATGGTATCACTTTCATTTTCCCTACCAATGAGAAAAAGAGGGTGAGATCTGAAGGGGAAGTCCAAATGCCTGGGAGTGGAGGGTTATCTGATATAAACCGGAGCCTTTGGTGGTTTGAAAGGAACTTTGCCAAAACAAGTCTATTTGGAGGGGGAAATGGAAGGAGAAGCTTCTCCTAGGCCCCTCTAATGTCTGCTGTCATCATGAGGCTGTAATACCCACTGGCTCAAAACACAGAAGTCCCAAATGTCAAACTCAACATGTCACATTCCTTCCTTTCGGCTTTTTAGGGTGAGGTACCCCAATAATAGAAAAGGAGGACACTCATGAACCATTGGGATGTCTCCTGAACAGCTTCACGGGCAATCATGGTCCATACCCCAGTTTGGAGGGCAGGAAGGCTTTGGAGAGCAGGTCAACTAATGCTTGGTCATTCTGAGCACAAGTCTTATCTTGTGATTCATGCAAATTGCTGCTACCTGTATTTGTTTCTTCATCAGATGAAACTCTGGCCTGCCAGGCAGGATGATGCAAGTGATTGTGCAGAATACAAAGCAACTGTATCCAGGCTTGAGGCTCTTTGGTTGACTCATAACAACAAAGAAAGAAAGAAAACAGAGCTAGGTTGAGTTACACAGGAAAACCCCTTGGTTCCTCAATTCCTTTTTGGGATTTCTTCCGAATTCTGAACAGTCAACAAGATAGGGTTTCTCCTTGCCCGCTTTGTGGATGCCGTTTCCATGGAATCCCATATCTCCCAACATCACCCACCTCAGCTGGGTTCATTGGCCACGTAGCTCCTTCTCTCCTGGACTGCCTCACTCAGTCCTCAGTCAACATGACATTTACTTAATTTTATGAGGAATTTGTGCTTGAGTTTACTTATTTCCTATTTCCTTCTCCCTTACACCTTTTGCATTATGTCTAGAAGACTGCAATTCTGTGCGTTGGGAATGTGTTTTTAAAAAACTTTGTACAGCACCTAGAGAAATGTAGCATATTATTATTGATTTCATGGGGTAGATGATGGGTGAACATACACGACAGATGAGCAGACGCCATGATTAAGTGTGACCTGTATAATCTGATTCACTCACTTCTCCCTAGCCCTGAGTGTAGGGACTGGATTGTACTTGTGACAGATCCCATCAGATTATTTATTTTCACCCAATCCTCATGACAAACCCAGACCGATGATTTTACTACTTAGGATGGCTAACTAACCCACACACACCTCAGCTGTAATGACCTCATTCAAGTCCATTCCCACTTCCTTCCTGCCATGAATAAACCTCACTTCCCCTTCCAAAGAGTCCTAGTTCTGGTCTTGAGTACTGCACTCGCCCACAAATATGCCCCTCATCAGCGTTTATATTTCAAGGAACACAGAAGTTGTCCTAATGGGGCACCAACCCACACAGCCATGCTAAAAATTCATTATTAGTCATCATCATCACACTTACTTACCTCTTCTGTTTCCTCTTCCAAGGAACCCATAGTAGCTCCTTCTCCTTTCCTCTTGAGTTTATCCTCATAACAGCCCTGTGAGGTAGGTGAGGTTCAGTGATTAGCCTAAAGTTTTCCAGTGAGCTACATGGCCAAGTGGGGATTAGAACCCGGATCTCTCACGTCCCAGACCAACATTCTATCCACGACACCACACCAGCTCCTCTCTTCCAGGCACTTTTTCACATAAGTGCAAGGTCTTGCACTTGGGGCATAGGAATGGGTATCATAAGTGCAGACAAGGGGACAAGTGGCTGGAGAGCAGCACTTGTGAAAGGGATCTCAGGGTACGCTCGACTGCAGGCTAAACATGAGTCAGTTGTGTGACGCGGTGGTCAAGAGAGCAAATGCCACCCTTGGTTGCATAGCCAGAAGCGTGGCTTCTAGATCAAGAGAGGTATTACTGCCACTCTACACGACTCTGGTTCACCTGCAACTGGAGTATTGTGTTCAATTCTGGGCTCCACATTACAAGAAGGATATAGCCAGGTTGGAATCAGTGCAGCACAGGGCCACAAGGATGGTGGCTGGAAAGCAGGGAAAGCTGTATGAGGTGAGACTGAGGGAGCTGGGTCTTTTCAGCCTGGAAAAGAGGCAATTCTGAGGGGATCTGTTGGAGACATATAGGTACGTGAGGGGGTGTCATGCAGAGTTGGGTAGAGTCCTATTTTCCCCTGTGGAGGAGGGCAGGATGCGTTCCAATGGAGCAACGCTCGGGGAACCAAGGTTCAGTTTGGATACCAGGAAGTACTTCCTGACAGTTAGGACCCCAAGGATATGGAAAGGGCTTCCACGGGAGGTGGTTGAAGCCCCATCGGTGAGGGTGTTCAAGGATAGGCCAAACTTGCACATGGTAGGCATATCATGAGTGGAACTGACTGGAGTCAGGGGTCAGACTAGATGGCTGGGGAGACCCTTCTGACTCGCTCTGTTTCTCTGTTGTCATATCAGTCCTTTGCTCATTCTTGAACTGGAACCTACCATCACTCAACCATCAACCTCCTTTTCTACCCACCAGGTCAAAGTGGGAACAGAATCCAGGAGACCTTTCTGCTCTGACTCACACTTTCCCCACTTACCAGTTGTATTCCGAGCTCAGAACCATCCCTAAATAAGCAGAGACATGTGGAAAATGAGGTGGGGGGGCTATCAGACGTGGGTCAAAGCTGTCCCTGCCCCAACCAGTTCTCCTGAAACTGACAATAAGAAAGAGATTTATAATGATGACAAAGCCATGACTTGCAAACACACTGTGAATGTGGGTGTCCAGCTAAATAAGTACATGTTCAGTCCTACATCAAACATTTGTCTGATCACAAAATGTTCATATTTGTTTTATGGACGGGTGAGAAGATACAGGACTCCGAGGCTTTGTTCCCCTAGTGCTTGGAATTGGGAGGGGAGGTGAAAGGGAAATCAGTGTTCTCCTGGGTTCTGATAGTAGGGTTATCACTTTGTCTTTTGGCAGGCAGAAACTGAGCACTAAAATGTTGGCTGGCATGGAGATGCAGTGATGGAGGGAATGTTTGCCCAGTGAATTTCTGCTTGCCCAGCTGCTCAGGAGCCCTGCCAAGGGTAGGGATTGCAATTCTAGCTTTGTCAGTGGATTTACGTAGAACAGGTGCCCGTGAACATCAAGGAGCCCAGACACCTTCCTGGCATCCAACAAGCTTCCCTACCTCTCCCAGCTTTTTAAAATGCATTCATCTCCTTAATGGCAGCTGGGATTGCTGTGAAACAGATTTCTCTTGCTTCCAAAAACTGTGGATGCAAAGAATAGCATGGTGTGCTGTTCGTAGTCTTTGGGGCGAGTTAATTGTCCTTTGCTGCACCTCCTGCAGCAGACATCTGCCCAGAGCAGTTTCTGAAGGATTCTTTCCTATGCGTGTTTAGAAGGAAAAAAAGACTACAACTCCCAGCATGCTGGGAATTCCAAGAGATCTTTCCATGTAAGAGTGTGTGCCAGTCCAGGTTGGTCAGGGAATTGATATTCTAAGAATTTAATTCCCACTTTTGTAAAGAGAGAGGGGCTATGCAGGTTTAGGGTTGCCTATGGCCTTTATGGGCTTCTCCCTCTGTTACTTCCATACCAACTTTATCTGCGGACATTAGTAGAAAATGCTGCTTATTGGCATGTTGAAAAAAAGCTTTCTCCTGCTGTTTTTGTAGACCACGTCTGTTAAAAACACAACAGCAGGCCATTTTCCCTGGTCAGTTGGCAACCCAGCATGGGGTAGCAGTCAGGATTACGATTGGGTGCTCAGGAAGAAAAGTGGAAGTTTCAGGTTCACAGCACAGGAGGGGCGAAGCTGTACTACTGGAGCAGGGAACTGTGTTGTCAGGACCAGAGAAATATTCCCCACCCTTGGGTTTCTTTGCAGGGCTCCTGTGTTTTAAGGAGCTGTGCAGCCAGTGGGAAAACCTTCCCTGTCACTGGGAATGCCTGTCGGGAAAAGCTTCATTTGTTTAATTTCTGCTTGCTCATCACCCTCAAAGAGGCAGAGGAGCAGTGCCAGAGGAAAAAGTCAACAGGCAGGAAGGGGCCTGAGCTTGTGAAGTACAGATCATGAAGATGCATCAGGGGAGGGATTTAAATGATGCATGCATCTTTCATCCTCTGAAAGGTAATGAAGCAACATGTGGGAGTCAGGACCTTACATCTCAGAAGGGAGTGGCAATGAGTAGTTAAATCATGCCTTTTTTTCTGAAAAAGTTGCCTGAAAGAAATACGGACGTGTTCTTCCTCATGTTGAAAGCCTGGATCCTGCTAAGAGTCATTTCCTAATTGTGTAACATAATTCACTCGCTCATATCCCAGTACAAACTCCCTGTTGTCGCTAGGGCTTCATGCAGGACCTAAGCCTCTGGATTTGTCTGAGGTCTGACTCTTAACCCTTATATTTCTGCCCTCTTGTGCCCTCCTCTCCTTCGCTGTAATCTACCCTCCCTTTCTCAGTAATTCCACCCGCCCCACTAACAGACTGGGTGGTGACCTTAATGAATATATAGATAGAAAGAAGGCATGATGCTTTCTCCACATCACTGGTGTCACCTTCTCCAGCAGGACAGAGAGAGACACACACGCTTGACAGGTGAGCAAGCCTTCCTGAGGCCAGGTGATTAAATGTGGGGGTCTTACTGGCAGAGCTGGAGGGGATACCTGTTATCTCAAGGGGACATCAACCAGCACTTACGTTAGGAAGAAGTTGGCTGGGAGATAGAGGGTGGAATTCAGAAAGGTTGGTTTATTTATTCTGCTTTTATCATTAATTTCTGATAACCCCTCTGACAGAGAAACACAGTGTCACAGTTACAAATGCAGATGTAGGAATTGTGCTACAGCTATTTTAACAATAAAAGAAGCACACTTCTCAAAAGGTTTCTCAAGTTTCACCTTCTTTTCCCAGTGGCAGCCACAAGCAGAGCCAGGAGATGGTCTTCTTTGTCGTTGTCTAGTGCTGAGAGATTCAGTGCCACTGAACGTGGAGGCTGTATTCAGTTATCATTGCAGCAGATCATTTGGTCCTAAAGCCATCAACACTTGTGGCCATCACCAAATCTTGTAGCAGTGAATTCCACAAGTTGTTGCTGCTAATTTCTCATGTTCTAACACTGGCATTTTAAACCGTACATCTGGTTACTATCTTATATAAAAGTCATCATGCTTATTCTGGATAGGAATAGGTGCGACAGCTGCATGTAGGTTGCCAGATGTGACAATTGCATATGCGCCTTTTCGGCTGGACAGGTGACCCTGCAGTGATGCTGGCACCTCTCACAGCCCCGCTACTTGCAAACATGTGGGAGAGGGAAGTTGTGTGTGAATATTTACATGTTATGGTCTCCATGCAGCTTTCTCCTCAGCAGGAAAATTAGAACATCTAGAGCGTTCCTCGCTTCCCATTTGCACCATATCAGTGGTGGAGCCAGTGGGAGGCTCTTTTTCAGCATACCCATTTTTCAGATAAGGAACACACAAAGTTGCTGCTGGCAACTTTCCCACAGCTGCGAGCGGGTAACTTTAGACCCAGGCCTTAATTATTCACTTACTTCAAAAGGTGGCAAGCCAGTCCTGCTGCAACCGAGGGCCCTCCTGCTCGCTCAGCTGAACAGCACCCCAGCCATGTGCCCCAAAGTCCAGCATGATGGCAGCACCAGCTGCGAGACACCTTTCCCCACCACCTCTGCTCCAAGGCTTGCTCAGGTTTAAGCCTCTTCTGCAAGTCGTAGCAAAACATGTCTGTCTGGGCTGACCGTGGCATCTAGAATTAAGCTTTGGAGCATGAGATGTTGAGCATGTGTTTCATTTTATTTCACTTTGCTGTTTTGTGCCACCCCCTATGTCCCACATGAACCCACACTGCTGGCACCACCTACCTGCTGGAGAGCCAAGAAGTTCAAGTGACAGCAGACTAATAGGAAGGGAAGGGAAGGGAAGGGAAGGGAAGGGAAGGGAAGGGAAGGGAAGGGAAGGGAAGGGAAGGGAAAGGAAAGGAAAGGAAAGGGAAGGGAAGGGAAGGAAAGGAAAGGAAAGGAAAGGAAAGGAAAGGAAAGGAAGAAACATTTTTAGATCTCATTGTTACCAGACTGCTAAAATAGACTTAAAGGTTTGTCCCCTTTAATCTGTTAGTCCTCCTTTAATTGATTTCCCTCCCTCCTTCTCCATAGCTGGCACAGCATACAATGGATGGTAGTTGGATGCCAGGAGCCCTCGCTCTGGTCCTCTTGCTTGCAAGAGGATGCTACACCAGTAGTGAAGGTAAGGTCACTGCACCTCTCACAGCAAGTAAAGTCTCCTTTTTGGCATGGGAGAGGGCAAAGGAGGGCTCCTCACTAGTATCAGTGCAGCCTCCCACGGATTTGGCTTCTCTTCCTAAGCTTGTGCCATCTCTGCTTCTTCTCTTTTTAGGCTCCTGGTGCTACGATAAACCAGAATGTGGTAAGAAAAATAGCAATCCTTTTGCGTCCCATATTTCCCAAACAAGGCTTATTCTGAGCCACAGCTTCTGAGTCCAGAACTCCACGGGTCTGCTTTGTAATGGATGAAATGTGCTTTTGAATATATGTGTATGGGCGGCAGCTGGGGGCGGGGTGCATAACAGAGGCTGTAGCTTTCAAGCTAAGGCCCTTTTAAAATAATGCCACCCTGTGCCTTCTGTCTCATTGCCATGCCTTTTGGTCTTTGCTGCTCGCCCTTCTCTTGGCAAGGTCCCGGGACATGGCTGACCCAGGAGTACTGCAATGGCAAGAGGCAGTCGCCCATCAACATCCGCTCTGAGAAAGCCATCCATAACCGCAGCCTGGGTGCCATCACGCTCACCGGCTATGATGACGGCAAAAAGCTGCAGGAAATGATAAATAGTGGGAAAACAGGTACCTGCGCAATCTTCTCATGCTTGAAACAAATTGCTTCTAGTCTTTAAGGTGGCAGCAGGCAAAAAGCTTACAAACACACTCACAAACTTTCAAGAAGGCAATGCCTGGTGAGTGAAGGTTGTTTTATACCTTTTATAGCTCTTCGTTTCTTCCTGTTATGACATGTTCTTAACTCAAAGCTGTGTAATAACGAAGCATGCTTGGGGTTTGTGTTTGAAAGAGAGGTGGAAGAAATCTGCTCTAAATGGGTTAGCCTTCCCAAATCTGGTGCTTTTCAGTTGTACTGTACTGTGACTCCCAGGACTCCCATGGCCATGTTAGCTAGGAATGATGAGAGTTGTAGTCCAACATATCTGGATGATACCAGGTTTGGGAAGGCTGCTGAGTGTGGAAAGTTGAGGTGAAGTGGGGAGTTGAAGGAGGTTTATACGCTGTCCGGAGACTTTTAGTATTGGGACGGCATATAATAACTTAATAAAAAATAACATAACATAAAAGGAAGTGTGAAATGACAGTGGAAAATTTTGTTTGAATGAAGCCATGGGAGAGGGTGGAGGGCTTAAGTGAGCAGCTGCGTAGGACTGGATTTATGAGATTTCTTGTCCTAATTGTATCATCCCAGACAGTCAGTTTACTGTGAATGCATCCCTCCAACAAACAGTTTGTGTGTTGTTAATCCTGCGTAAGTTGCAGCAAAACTCACATGGGAAAGCAGTTGAACACCTGTCCAAACACCTGTACCCAGCATACAGAGAGTGCTGCTGGTATGCGCAGACTGTGATGGGTGGATTTCTCCCCTCTCCAGTGTGGGTTTACAGGCTGTCCCAGGCTCCTGATAGTCCTGATTTCCTCCTGCAATCATACAATGGGGGAACAGAGCCCACTGGAACGTTGCAGCTACGTACAGCACAAACCCAGCCAGCTGCCCTCAGCTCTGGAGGACACTGCTGAGGGAGACTGTTGTGAGGGATGAAATAAAATTCAACTCACACCCCTCCATCAACATCCTCTTTTCCGGGGTCACCACTGAAGGACACTAGTCCAGTGTTTCCAGAATCCTTCAGCTATTCCCAGAAGAGAAAGATGTGGGGGAAATCAACTGCCTTTCAACCTGCTTTCACTCTCCCAGTTGTATGAGCCAACATCTGACAAACTTACTCAATACACCTCAGATAAGATAAGCATGGCTCAAAAGGAGTCACGCAGAGTACGGATATATTTGCAAACAGGCTGGTTTGCACAAGCAATTCCAATCACGGCACTTGTGGTTGCATAAGCAGCAGAGGCTTTGGGGGTGGGGAATTCATGTCCGGATTTTTCTGTTCACCTGCAGTTGACATTGAACTAGAAGATGGACTCTACTTCACCGGCCATGGTCTTCCAGCACAGTACGCAGCCAAATCCTTCCACTTCCACTGGGGAGATGGTGATTCCAGGCCAGGATCAGAGCACTATATAGACAACAGACAGTACCCTATGGAGGCAAGGATATATTTCCCATTCCAGCTACTTGAGGTTCTCACTTAGGATGGTGAAGAGATGTACTCAACTTTAAGCTCAACAATATAGCCTGAAGTATCTAATTCTGCTTTATCTTGGAAGCTACAGAGGATCAGGTCTGGTTGGACTCTCGATGGGCGACTTGAGTACTGCACCACACAGGTGGTGCAACCTGATGGCCTGCTTGGCCCCTTCCAACTATATGATTGTAAGAGTATCTTAGCTGCTCATTTCCTTCCTAATGCCTTTAATGATTGGAATTGCAGCAGCAACAGTTTTCCTCAGCATTAGCACAAACCACAAATTGTCACAGCTTTTGAAAGTGATTCCTCTAGTTCAGGCTAGAATTCTTCCCTGTTAGAAAGTGTCCAGCTGGGGGTGGGGGGGTGTCCTACGAGTGATAGGGTGTATTTCCTATCTAAGTATGCATAAAAAAACAAAGCACAACATTCTTTCCAGCATGTGCAAAATACGTTTCTTTTTCCATTTAATTATTGCAATGTATATTTTGACTTCAAAGCCTGTTTTTTAGACATTAGAAAAGTCACAGTCACTCATGCCTTAATTACATCTTGTTCGGACTTCTGTACCATGTGCTACATGGAGCTGCATTTGAAAACTTTTCGGAAGCATCAGCTGGTCCACTGCAGCTAGACAGGCAGCTGGGGCTGTGACAAAGAGCACTTGACTCATCCCTTATAGCAGCTTCCCTGGGCAACATCCCAAGTGCAGGTTCTGTCTTCTGAAGGCCTACAAAGCTGAGGACTGGGCTACCTGAATGGCCACCTTGTCCCACACAAGCCTGCCTGCCTCTGAGAATTCTGGAGTGGCCCTTCTTTGGATGCTGCCACATTCAGAGGTGTGCTTGGTCACAATGCAAGGGTGGACCTTCCCTATGGCTATTCCAGGACGGAGGGTTGCCCTGCCCAGGGACACTAGCTTGGCTCCCTCTCCGCCCCTTTTCCACCAGCGGGTAATGATCTTTTTATTCAAGCAGGCCTTTGGCATGGAAGCTGGGCTGCTGGGTCAGAGGTTCTTTTTATTCTGTGATAGTTGTCTTTTCAATTGTGTTTAAATGCATTTGTTGTATTATTGTTTCATTTGAGCTGTTTAAATGATTCTAAGCTTCCTGGGTGCCATTTTTCTTGGTAGAAAAGTGGGGAACTAATCCAATCGATCAATCAACCAATCCATCAATGGCCAACTCTAATGAAAGTGAAGCAGGAACACACGAGAAATTTCCAATATGTGATGACTTTATTATACAATAGTCTACACATCTGTGCTCAAAGGTTCCTCCAAAAGGGACCGGGTGGGACAGTAGAAATATAGTCAAAATTAATACTGTTTTTTTTCTCCCATCAGTTACACATTGTACATACCAAAAACAACACGAGTGTATCAGATGCTCGGAAGGACCCAGAAGGAATTGCTGTGCTAGGATTCTTTCTCGAGGTGAGGGATGAAGCCAAAAGGACGTAGAAACTTCTGTCCATTTTATAGCACTTTATGTTGGGGAAAAAGTAATTCCAGCCCCTTTATCCAAGCGGACTGCTAGTTCCACTGTAAGTTTCATGTGGAATGTGGTTCCAAAACCACATCCGTATTGCATACTACCTGTGTTATCCTAATGTCTATGCTTCTTCTCTTGCTCTGGAGAAATGGAAGAAGAGTAGTTGGTTAAGCAGGAAGTGCTGGATTTGCTGGGAGTCCATCTAGGCTTCATTTCACCGCTTCTTCTGTACCACAGGGTTCGGAAATGGCCTCAGGCAAGACAGCTGAAGCATGGGAATCTTTCATAAAGAACCTCAAGAAAGTGTCTGAAAAGGGTGAGTCTCTTGGCAAAACCAGGAGGGCCAACTGTTTCCTCTCTCACCCTGAGAATCCATAACAGCTTCCATAATGAGTTGAAATACTTTCCTGCCTGTCTACCGCATTGTTCAATTTTGATAGTTCCAATTATTGCCTTGATGTACCCTGGACATGGCTGCTTCATCAGCGCCCCTGGATTTCCCTCACCATCCCTTATACAGAACTGCACAATTTAGGGTCCTTAATGGGAAGCATCATTATTTATTCATATGTTTATTTATAACATATATACAATTTTCCTCCAGGGCAGTCAATCTGGCATCCATTTTTCCCTTTTCTCTTGTATCCTCGCAGGGCCAAGCCCACTTTGTGAACTTCATGACGGAGTGCAGATTTGAAACTAGTTCACTTCAGTTCTAGCCTGACATCCTAACCATTTCACCAGGGTTCCCCTAGACAATTTCAGTGTCACCACAATACTATCCATTCCCTGCCCCCTTCAAAAAGAAAAGTTTAAGGAAAAACCTTGGAAAATCTTAGAACCACTAGGATTGCTCTTTGGCTTCCCTCTGCTCTTTTTCCTATTTCCCTCCCAGCCTCACCATTTCTCGTTCTCCACCGTCTCTGTCTCGTTTTGGCTAGTCGGGATCCCATGTGATCTTTCATAGAAATCATGCCATGGTGGAGCCCACAGCAGTTCCTCAAATGTGTCCATGGGTCTGAAATGTTGGAGACAGCTGCACTGTGTCATGTGGGTTCTCAAACTCGTGCTCAATTTTTCTGTAAAATCATTGTTAAAACTAGCTTGAACCTGTTTAAATCTGGAACATGTGCATAACCCACTTTCCTCCACATCTTCAGGCAAACATACAGATCTTGACAGCACCTTCTCCCTCCTGGACCTGCTGGGTCCCACAGACTTTGCCCGCTATTTCCGCTACCCCGGCTCTCTCACCACTCCCCAGTGCAATGAGGTCGTAATCTGGACCATCTTTCCTGACCCCATCCTGGTGCCACCCAAAGTGGTGAGTATAGCAATCCGAGTTTGGACAAACACAGGCAGAATGCAGAGGCAAGCAAGAAGGTGCTTTCTTTTGCGTCTTCCCCTCTCCTCCAGCTGTCTCTCCCATATTTAACTCAGAGAGAGAGAGCGAGGGGGAGCGGGGAGAGAGGGATGAAAGCTAAGATCTTTCAAGAAGTTAAATCCTGAAGCTGGTACCATAAGAACCCAGGAAGCGCCATGCTGGATCCGACCAAGCATCCATCTGGTCCAGCTTTCTCTTCGCATAATGGCCAACCAGCTGCCCAAGGGAAACCCACAAGCAGGACATGAGTGCAAAAGCACCCGCCCACCCATATTCCCCAGCAACTGATGCACATAGACATGGGCCTCCAATACCTCTAGGACTAGTAGCCTTCTCCTCCTTGAATTGGTCCAATCCCCTTTTAAGGCCATCCAAATTGGAGGCCATCACTGCATCCTGTGAAGCAAATTCCATAGTTGCTGTGTGAAGGTGCACTTTCTTTTATCTGTCCTGAATCTTCCACCACTGAACTTCATGGAATGGCCTCAGGTTCTGGTCACAGGGCAAGAGAAGGAAAGAACAATGTTTCTCTATCCATTTCTACCATACCACGTACATCTCTATCATGATTTTTCTTTTGCCCTTTTTCTAAGCTAAATGATCCCAGCAATTGTAGTCTTTCCCCTTCAGTGAGTTGCTCCAGTCCCTCAGCCATTTATTTGACTTGCCCTTTTCTGTCTTTCCCACCTCTACAATAGCCCTTTTTACATAAGGCAACCAGAATGGAACATAATATTCTAAGTGCAGTTGCACTGTAAATTGTACAAGGGCAGTATGATATTTGGCAGGTTTATTTCCAATCTTTTCCACATTATAAGCATTTTATCTGTTTCTGCAGAATTGCAAAATGCACAGAACCCTGTCTAATCTGAGGTTGCCCAAAATGGAGATGTGATAGCTAGACCAGGCCTTAGCATTAGACAGTTGAGAGAAGTTAAGGCGATACAGTTGGTTGGTCTGGGCTGAGGATTTTGCTAAAGAAGTTGGGCTTGAGAAAGGAGCTATAACATGAAAAGAGGGTCTGAGGCCATTTCAATGGTGCACTGTAACAACTGTGCATTTGTCCCATTGAGTTGCTAATCGGCTGATATCCTAGCTTGGTCCCTCTTGGTTTTCATGGCATAGATCCCAGTGCTCAATCCAGCAGCACCTCCTTTGTCACTTTACCCAGGCTGATGTTCTTCTTATCTCTCCTCTGATAGGTGGAAGCTTTCCCGTCTGAACTGCGTTATACGGACTCCTCCAGCGGGCCACGGATGCAGAACAATTTCCGCCCCCTGCAACCAATAGGGAAACGGGAGGTGCAAGCATCGGCCGCTTTGAAGGCTAAGCGTTCTGCTGCCTCCCTGGTTGCTCCATCAACACCACTCCTCCCCTTCCTTTTCATCGCCACCATCATCTCCTCAATGCTCGTATAAAGGGCAGAAGTGTTGGGAACCACGCAGAGAGGGAATTGCTGTGATCTCCCGAGAGGTCAGTACTAGACCACAATCAGGACTAGGACCTGCCTAGCTCTGCAAATGTCTGCAGGACCAGGAACACCTTTGCAGGCAGCTGCAGGGAGCAGCTGAGAGGCAATCACGTGGCGGAGCTGGGGCCCAGGAAACCGTCCTAGAAGGCCTCTCTGCGCTGCTGTTCTCCCCCACAAGGACACGATTGTCCCTGTGACTCTCGTGTGCTCCATGCCTGGAACCTCGCTCCTGCCTTGCTCCTGTTCGTCGCTGCTTGCTCATTCCCTCCTGCCTTGCTCCTCTCGATCCTGCGTGCTCCAGTCTGCTCCCGTGTGTTCCTTCTTGTTCCGGTTAATCCCGCTTAGCTCCAGAACACTCTTGTCTGTCCCTGTGGCCTCCCTCCTCCACCTTGACTGCCTTTCTGTGGCTGCTTCCCTGGCATTTGACCTCTGGGCTGTTTCTGCTCTCTCTTGCACTGGACTGGACTGCCTGCTGCCTCATGTTTGACCCTGGACCATTGACCACACTGCCAGCCTCTAGCCCTACAAAGCTACAAGCCCAGCCTCACACCAGCGCCCTGCTCCTGGTGTTCTGCCCACCCCCGTCAGCCACCTATGTCTAGGTGCTCACGCAATCCTACCTGTCCCTACCTGCCATCTCTCTCTCAACCAGTTCAGCCAGGTAGGAAATGTACTTGAAAACAGAAAAGGGGGAGTGAGAGATGCGCATCACTGTAGGGACAGGAGCACAGAGGAGAAGCAGCCGGGGCTTCTACGGACAGTGTTGGAGAAAAAAGTGCTGCTCAGTCTATGACACCTAGAGCTGAAATGAAGCTTCCAGAACATCTTGTATCTCAAGACTTAAATTGTGAGCTAGACAGAAAGGAATGAAATGTAGACAAACAACAGAGCAATTCCATCATAAAATTAATACTAAAAGTGACTCTTCTTGATAGCCATTCAATATTACAGCTTCTAATGGAGTCAAGCTGAAGCTTTTAACACTAATTATATTATAAAATTACTTCAGTTTTGGTTTGTTTTTCCTATTTATTTTTTCTTAAGACTGGCTGCACCTGCTGTGGATCCAGCAATTCTTTTATTTGCTTTTGTGTTGCTTTACACCAACCTCTGTCTATATTTGAGTTTCCCAAATCAAGGTTTGGGCTTAGAACTAATGGACCTGATAATGGAATTTGAGCACTGATTCAGTACATCATAATCCAAAACCTAAGTTTCACATAACACCAGGAAAAAGTTCATTTCAAATATTGATTTCAGTGTGGATTGGGAGGTTCAGATTTCTGTGCAAATCCTTTTAACATTTTTTAAACAGTTGAAATTACTTTCAGGTCTGTGGGCTTCTCAAGGCTTTTTTGTGTAGTTAAAACCCTTCACTTACAGAAGTTGGCAAGTCCCTTACCTGAAGGCAAGCCCCTTACCTGAAGGCAAGCCCCTTTCAAAAGTTGGCAAGTCATCATCCTCCAGGCCTCTCCCATGTTTTGTAGTCCCTTTTGTGCCTTTTTTAAGAGCAAATAAAGATAATGAGGTAATGAATTGTCATGGCACAACAAACTAGAATAAAGGTTTGCATAAATGAGCAATTATGCTAAACGGCAGTGCCACCATGTAGTTATCTAATACAACATATGTGAAGGCATTGAAAGCAAAACCCCAGTGGAAAAAAATGAGACTCTTTTGGAACTTGGAACATCCATGAAGCCCCGAGTTCAATGCCTCATAAAGAGAACACCCCAGTATCACACAGGCCGCAGCTTCGAGATCCGTTTTTATACAGATAGGAACATCAAGCAATTGCTCATTCACATTGGATGTCTCTAATCTCACACAGAAATTCCATAATTTATCTCCAGTGCAGCATTTTTTTCAATAGAGTCAGTCCACATCGGGCACTGCCTCTGAGGCACCCAGTGAACAGCGGGTCACATGTGTGCGTGATCCGGTTGCTGCATCCCTTCCCATCACGGACAGCCCAACATGGGCCTGCAGCTGCCAGAGCAAGTTTCTTCCTCCGTGGGAAAAACTGGAGCAAACCACACCCTTTTAACTACCTCATTCTCTCTCTCGATAGTGGTATCTTTGTTTCTTCTTGTTATTAAGACTTATTCTTTAATTGTGGAAAGGATTTCCAAAATCCTCTGTTACAACGGTCTCTAATTTGTTAAGCACTTCTGAATGATGTGGGAAGAATTTCTTCTTGTTTAGGCCCTCGGAGGTGGAAACTTTAAGGTGTAAGGAGGCCAGGAACATTCTTCCCTGAGAACCTCAAATGAGAAAGCAGTTTCAACAAGGGCTAATTAGTCAGCTGTGACTTGGTGTCAAACTAGATGTGACATTTGTCACATGCTTTGCCCTTGAGTGTTGTATGTGGTTGTGTCATGGATTAGCAAAGGGGAGGATTTCAACCGAGACAATAACAGAAACAAAGGATTAGAGCACCGCCCCTTATTTGTATTTTGTATTTTATTTGATGTTGTAAGCTGCCCCGAGGCCTCGGCAAGGGGTGGCATAGAAATGTTTTAATAAATAAATAAATTTGCATACCGGTTATTTAGATTTATGCCAGGGCAAATGACAAATGTCGCCTCTCATTTGGCTCTCAAAGTATGACCGTTTGTGGTAATTAAACTGAAGACATGTGTGTATATTCCTATGAACAGAAGAAAGCAGTGTTAAATGTTTCTTTCAATGTAGCATTAATGTAGTTATTGCATGTTTATTCCAACCTTTCTGCAAGGAGTTTCCGGTCGTGTGCTTGGCTCTCTCTGCTGCCTACCTGTTGTGGCCTCACAGTGATTCTTTTAAGGTAGGCCAGAGTGAGAGAGGGCGACTGGCCAGATTCCCCCTCGAGCTTCATGCCTGAGAGGGAATGTGAAACTGGACCTCGCCAGACCTACTCCAACCCCTCATTGGGCCTTTCCCAACCTGGGGCTCTCCAGATGTGTAGGCCTACAGTTCCCATCATTTCCCAGCAGGGGCAACAAGCAGGCTGTGAATAATGGGAGATGCAGTCCAATCTGAAGGACGCCCGGTTGGGTAGTGCGGACTGAATACTACCCAACTTCTTCCCGGAGGTAGTCCAGGAATATTACTTCCTGAACTGCACTGAATACATACTGCCCCACATTTTCCACCCAAAGACAGTCACGCCTGTGAACATCTTGGAAGGTTTTGTTGCTGTGTTCTCTGGACCTGAGTTGGTAATCATTCTGATGGACAGAGGTAACCTCCTGAGACCAGACCAGATTCTGGTGCAATTGTGTATGTTTGAAATAAATTTATGCTAAACTGAAGCAACGGTTCGTATATACAGAGATTTGTAAAAGGGAAAGAAAAAAGAAAGATCCACTTTTCTCAGTATTAATGGGAATCAGGAACTACTCTTGTATGTGGAAGGCAGAGGAGGAAATTGCAGGCAGCTTCTCAAAAGTTCCTGTCTTCATTTGCTGCAAAGTATCAAGTATATTTACCCTTTGGACAAAATCTCATGAGTTTGTATCTACTGAATGTGTATGCTGAATAAACATTTCTTTTTTAAAGAAAAGCCAAGTGTGTATATGTTTTAATTTTTTTTCTATAAAAAAATTCATCTGACAGCACCAAAAAAGAACATACACTCTCCCAGCTGGAGCAAACCTCTTTTCTGGCCCAGGGAAACCTTCTCCGCTAAAAGCAGATGGAATTTATTTATACTTGGGTAAGTAAGGAGGGCATTTCATCATTCAAGCAGTGGGAACCGGTCGCCATTCTGCACCCACAGTACATGTGTGTACACACATTCTTCAGAAGTAATTTTGGCAAAAGCAGTGGTCCAGATTACACGGAGGTTACTTTTCTGTGAAGCGAAGAACCTTTCGATTATTCAGAAACTGAAGAGGACGGTAGTTATTCTGCATTGGCCTCTTTTCTTTTTTGTTGGTGAAATACATCGACTTGGTGAATCTCTTGAACTGGAAGAAAGGAAGGAAGAGGTGGAACAAAGGAAAGAGATAAAAGCTTGTAAGAGACAACATATTAGAGCTCAAGAAGACCAGGAAGTTCATGCAACAGAAGCGGCAGTGCAGACCTTTCTAAAGCCAAAATTTAACCTGGACTCAAGATTGGCTTCTCGCTCAAAACAGCTGCAAAAATAGACACTGGCTGAAAAGTAGGATCCCAAGCCCAAGCCTAGATGAATTAAGCTAGTCAAAACCTCCTGCAGGAGAGGCCAGACTAGACAGGAAGGGAAGCACACAAGGCCTGTTCCCCTCTGGGGCTCTTCTACTTTCTCTGTGGTCATAAATGAAATAGGTAGCAGTTGGACTGATGGAGGTGGAAGGGTGCTTGGGAAGCGGAAAGCACCTGGGCTCCCACACCAGCGATCCTGTCCCTGACACACAAGCCTTGAAGATGAAGTTGGCCTTCTCAAGGACACCCCCGTGTGCAGACCTGATGCCCGACAGAGCATTTAATTCTTCAAGCAACTGTCAGTTCCACCAGGTCCCATAAAAGCAAGCTCTAAGGACACCCTTAGAGGCCTTTGTGGGAGGATCTTTGCCCCTCTAGACTTGGTTTTCTGCAGCTGTGCTCTCTGCTCCTTCTGACATTTCTGTGCTGCTTCTGCCTCAGCCACTTGCCAGCCTTAGTCTATGCCGGGAGGGCAACATCTCAGCCTCCAAGTTTGAATCCATCCCTGTGGTGTCTTTAGAAGTCCTGCCCCCTTTCCATAGTCCCACCCATTTCCCTTGACCATTGACAGGTGGTGCACACACTGGTTCGAAACCCACTCCTCAGATTTAGTTACTGGCAATAAAGGCTTTGAGCGAAAATGAGCTGATACCTTGGTTTTAACTCTTTCACTGTTTGGCCCACAAGATCTCTTCTGAAATAGAATCTGGACCTCAGGCTGAAAGGGGGTTGACACCCCAGAGTTCCACCCTCCTCTGTTTGGCTTTTAGAGGTTGTTTCTGTTTCTGCTTTTAGAGGTTGACTCTTTCCTGCCCTGGGCCATACACAATTCACCTTTGACCCCCTGAAATGGAGCTGGCTTCCCTGGGACACATAAACATGATTGGCACTCAGACGACCAAGACTGATGATGTGCCTTAAGTCTTGACAAAGGACTTTGGGGAGGACAATCTATCAGCAATGGCAGCAGTGGAGGTAAATCTGGTTGTCGGATTGTTGGTTCGTGGTGGCAAGGCTGCGATCTGTGTCTGTTTCCAAACAGTCCAGCAGTCCAAGCTCCTGGTGGAGCTGTGCTGCCTTCAACAGGCTCCATTCTTAGTTAAGAGAATCCAAGGATTCTCTCTGCCAGGCTCCCCAAAACCGAAGGGCAGCAGACATTCCCAGCTCACCACTGTGTGATGGATCTCAATGGGCTCAGGAAAGATGGTCCAGATTACAGCTTCGTTGCAGTCAGGGGTCGTGAGAGAGCCGTGGTAGCGGTAATAGGTTTTTGTGTCTACTGTGTTCAATAAAGCTCCTAGGGAGAATTCCCCGTGCAGATTCACAGAATTCCCTTGGGAAAGAGAAGAAAAGTGAAAATTCAGCTAAAGCGGCTGGTAGAAAAACACCTCATTTTCTAGGGAATTGGGGTGCAAAGGCTCACCTTTCTCTGGGATCCTTTCCAAAAACTTGCCCAGGGTCTTCCATGCACTGACAATAGGAGCTTTGCTGGACTTCTGCGGGGAAATGAAGGGCGGGTATGTGTTACAGGAATATCTCCACAAGTTCCCCTTTCTTTTATGGGGTAGAACCCTAGGCAGACTCAGCACTTCAAGGGCACGTGAACCACTCTGGACTTGGACAAGTCTTACAGGAGGAATCCCATTCTGTTCCTCACCTTTAGGAAGAAACCCAGGACAGCAAACCCTTCGGGATCCTTTTTCGCTTCTTCTTCACTCATGTTGTTTTTGGTGTGAACAATGTGGAGCTGAGGCAAGGGGTGAGGGAAACAAGGAGGGAAAGAGACATAGAAGATGAAACTGAAAATGAAAATAGACATTAGCATGGTGCAGTAAAGAGATTAGTGGATTGTGGTGGGTAGCTACTGTGGGCCATCCAGCTGTACTCTTTGAGAACAGCTCTGAGCCAGCAGGACTCATCTTACATTGCGGGAGACCCATGTTCACAACCCATCCAGCCATAAAGCCCACTGGCCATTCACTCTTCTGAGGACCAAAGCATAATAATCCACATTGTGCAGCTGCTGAATAAACCTTCTTTTGTTCAAAGGATCGCTGGCTGATATTCTGAAAAGTTTGGCTGATAGAGCTTCAAGTTGAGCTATGCAAGCAGAGGTGCATTTTCCTGGACAGGCAAATCGAACAGACCTGAGGCCTGTGCTCCACAGGCGTGAGAAAAGCAGAAACTAGCATGTTATGCTCAGGAACAGTCTTGTCTGCACTGCTGTGGTGTCACACGTCTGCAAACATTTTATCTGCGGAGGTGGAAGATCTGCCAATGAATAATGGTCTTCTGGAATAGCTGGAGACTCAAGGAAGTGTTTTAAAGGGGGAAGACACTGAGAGCTGTTGGAGCAGTGCCAAAACTCCAGAGAATTACATTGCTAAGAGGTTCTATGGTGGTGCTCCAATTATGGAACACTCTACCGAAGATGTGCCAGGCACCAACCCTATTGAGTTTCGCACACCAGTGTACCTTTGGCACTATTTAGACAATTTATATCAGTGCACAGTTTTAATTATAATGTATGCTTTATTTTCATTTAATTCTTTTAGTGTGACTTTATTTATTATGAGATTTTAATTGCATTATTTTATTAATGTTATTTGTTGATCGTAATGACTGCCCAGACAGCATGTTCCCAACTGGTGGCTTTTAAACAAATTAAATAAATTATTGTCCCTACCCTATTTTATTTAATGTATTTTTTCCTCTTTCCTGGTGCTTTTGGCAATTACTCTCTGGCTTACAACTTCTCTGTTCCCTTTGACAGCTGAAACAGACAAGGATATTGACCAGGAAATATTGCACCTATCTGACAGCCATAAGAGCTCGCTTGTGAAAGACCAGCAAAAATAACAAGAATTAAAAACGCGCACACACAAAGACAGTTGTGCTGTTTTCTGAGTCAAAAAAGTGATGGTGTGGGGTGAACCAATTATGTTTCCTCCAGAGTGGCTCTCAGATGTTCATGGAGAGGCCATCACTGCCTGAAGCGTGAGCCAGATCAAGAGCAGCAAATAGTTTTGCAGCTCTTGCTAAGTGGCTCACTAGCTGATCTCCTCAACCCATGATGAAATGGCTTTCCTGAGTTCAGATAACATGACCACCCATTGCAGTTATCAGGGGGTCTTGTTCCTGAAAAATAACCCACCCTTTAGGAAGTACTCTGAGTCTGGACAACACAACAACCCACTATGGCTAGTTACCAAGGATGGGTTGTTGCGTCACGCAAACCAGGTCACTGCAGAATGAAGCGGCAGAATATTGAAGGGATAGAACTGGCCACACCTGTTCGGATGGCAGGTGTCAGGGGGTTAAACTGCCTGAGTACTGAACACTGGTTCTGTAGATGAAAGGCAAGGGTGGAATTATTCTTCTGGACGTTTTCTTTTCTTTTAGCAGAGAGCGGCTTATGAGGCACAGCACTCAAAAGTGGCGACTTCCACCTGCCTTCTGCAGGGCCACAGTCCCTTCCACCATTCCATTTGGGCTGACATATGAAAGGTGCGATCCTGTGCACATTGTGAAAGGAAGAAATCCAGCTTAGCTGGCTGCAGAATGCTGGAAGCTGTGCGACTTTTTCTGTGCAGTTATGCACGGCATTGTGCCCTTCATAGTGTCAGGAGCAGACAGGGAGCGCCAAGAAGGGCAGGAGGTGTGTGCGTGCCTGCAAAGGACGCATCTAGGCAGCTGGGGAGGTGGGTGTGGGGATGCTGGTGCCAGGCGGGTATACCCGAGTGAAGCAGAAGCCCACACAAGGAATTTGGCCCAGCTGGTGTGAACGCTGCATGACCACCCCATAGCCTTGGCCAGACCCCATAGCTGCTTTGCCTTCCCCGTGCCCTCTGCAGTGGGGGAAGCTGTGGGTTTGGCATAGCCAGCCTGGAGCAGAGCTCTGGCAGCTGCTGCCACAGCTAAGACCTTGCTGCAGAGGGTCAGGGCCCACGCAAGTCCCTGCCCAGACCAGGGCATGAGTGTGGAGGGGGTGCTCTTCCCCCTGCGTTTCACCTTCCCTGCACTTTCCCCAGGCAAAGCACTTGGTGCATCAATTGCCCATTTATCCTCCATCAACAATCCCTGCCCCAAAGTGCCTGTCAGACTTCACAGAGCAGGACTTGAGGAGAGGTTCATGGAGGCAGCCGAAGCCTCTGTAGGCTGGATGAGGCCCATTCCTACACTAATGGCTCTGAGGCTTGGGAGCTCAGCACATAGGCTAATTCCAGGCAGGGAGCTCCTCACACTGTGACTCTTCTCCTTAATGCTTTTTTTTTTTTTTTTTTCTGGTAAGAAAAGGCTGGAATAAACTGCAGGGAAACAGAGGAGGATTACAAATGGAAGGCATCTTCAGCACCCCTGAGGTCGGATGAGTGCATGGCCCTCTGCTCATGCTTCTCTGCACCTGCTTGAGGGAAGCTGCACCACATCCCTGCGCGCTCCCTAATGATCACCAGGGCTGTGCACAGTATCTGAAGAAAGGATAGCCAGGATCAGGGTACTGCAGACACGCTTCTAGGTCCTGGGCAGCAGGATGGAAAGCTGGGCTTAGCTTGTCCAGTAACTTAACACTGCTCTCCTAGCATCCAAATTGAATCCCTACATCTTAACACTCACAACTTCTTCCGGTATCTGAATGGCTCACCTCCATGGGGTACTGCAAGCCGTCGATCGCATGTTCTGAGCCTGGATACATGTATGTTCCCCAGTGGAAGTGGAAGGATTTCAGGGCATATGTTCCTGGTAGGCCAGGACTAGAAATGCTGGCTCCACTCGCCATCCTAATGTCAGCTGCAGCAAATGCAAAGCAATGAAACAAGCGAATGTTTCAATGAGCCCTTTGATTTCTCCCTGCCCCCAGTAATTTCCTGAATATCCACAAAGGGCAGATGTCAGGGAAACTCAAGCTGTGCCACACCCCTTCCCTCAAGTGAGGTCAGCACCACACAACCACACCTGAGGCTGGTCTCTCAAGAGAATACCTGTACAGTCAGCATTTCATCTTAACCCAAGTGATGCTCAGACCAAGAGACCAGGCCAGATTCAAAAACTCTGTGGGATCAAGTGGAACCCAGTTGGGTTCTAGGGTTGTCTGATCCCTCCTGACCTGGTAGCTGCAGTAGAACCTGCTGCCCATCACCACGGGGGTGACGAAGCACAGCTGAGTGGTCGGAAATTCTCTTCCCCCTGGAAAGCTCCCATGGGAATGCAGAGAACCATGTGTCTGGGTCCTGCTGCCAGAGTTCCCAGATCAGAAATGCCTCCTGTCTTTCATATTAATTCACAGTTTCTTGTCCATCTACACTTACGGTAGTGCCCTGTGTTCTTAAGGACCTTTGGCTTCATTCGGTCTTCATATCCAAGAAATCGAATATGGCCCAGGCTGGAATCCGACAGGGCTTTCCTGGTAACAATGTTGATGGGAGATTGTTTCTTGCCACCACAGTAACCAAGGGATGCCCATGTGTTGGGATCTAGGAGGAGGAGGAATGAATCCTATGCACTAAGCACACCAACAGTCTCCTCTAAAGTGTCTGTGATTAAAACACTTTTCTGCAATGGGCAGAATCCCATCTCCCTCCCACCGCAAAAAACATATCCTTGGGTCAATCTCTTTTTCATAATAAACCATCTGGCCAATCCTTGATGAGTTCAGAGTCACTGAGGAAGTAGAGTCAACTTTCAGTACTTTTCTGATTGGCTAGCTGGACTACTACAACAGAAATGGAGCTTCTCTCACACTTGGTCAAGCGACAACCCATCCCACAAGGGAGCCAGTGTTTATTGGTCTCAGACTCCCACGAGTGGTGCTTGCTGGAGCCAGGGCCAATATTGACAATAGTCCTCGGCTTGTACTTTTGGTGGATGTGTGGCAGTGAATCAGAGCAAAAGGTGTGGCTGTTAGTGTTTCAGGGCCATAGATGAACAATATCACCCACAATGTACTGGTCCAGCCAAGAGAATCAGATAAGGACAATTGTGAAGTCTAATGACCACTTTGGCAACAGGACAATAACCTCCATTGTACTAACTAAGTTGATGCAAGGTGCCAGGATCTGAGGCTGGAACACAGCTTCCTCTAGCCACGAGCAGCAAGTGCTCGCAGGACCAAGAGCGCACCTGTGGGTACTGGCAAAGATCAGAGCCTGTGCAAACTTGTGGCACACCTGAGAACCCTGGGAGGCTCTAGAAAACGCTGCAGCAGCTTGACTGTAGCAACACGCAGGCCTTCGTAATGCCTGCTTCGTGTTCCTACTCATGCCTTTGGTGGGCCTTCAGCCATGCTTTGATTCCTGCCTGCTCTTGGCTCGCCTCTTGCCTCCGGTCTCACCTTCATCTCTTGTTCTGCTACACCTTGCCAGGTACCTGATCCTTGCCTGCACCTGCCCTTTCATTTGCCTCTGCTGCTGACACACCTTGTCAGTATTTGACCCTTGCTCATTCCTGGCTCTGCCTTGGCTTCTGGTTCTCCTGTGCTCTGCCAAGACCTCCACCATCCCTGGCTCTGGAGCTCCAGCCATAGACACCGGCTGCCTACACAAGGCAGGCCACACACAGCTCTGTCTGCCAACACTTCCCTGCAGCTCTGATGCCTTGAGCATCTGCTGCCTGAGGCAGTCTGCCTAATGATAGGGTGGGACTTGTCCTGTACCTGGGAGACCCACCTCTTCGGTCTCTCACTGGGTCTGCAACCACCAAGACTCACCACTGCAAAGTTACTAGGCAGTGGTTCTTCATGAGAGGCAACCAGGAGGTGCCACTGCAGGAGAAGCGCCTGGGCGCTTACCTAACAACGCTACAGATAGCTGCCGTTGCTTCTGAGTTGCAACAGGAAGTGGTGGGGAGAGGGCTTCCCCAACAGCTCCCCCAGTTTCCCTTGCTGCAATTCCCCTCAAATAAGCTGCATGCCTGTGCAGAGCGCATGAGCAAACGGCACGCTGCAGGGACGATGGCCACATCCTCGGGCGAGGCCATGTGGAATTATGGCAGAAGAGGACAGAAGAGAAGCCCAGTTTCTTTACGTTTTGCACAGGCTAATTTGCATGCATTAGAAGCAGATAGTTTTGCATTTAGAAATAATAGTTATACATAGAGAAATAGGAAAACAGGCCATTTCTCCATAGTACGGCAGTCTGTGACTAGGCAGCCCCTGACCCTTCCTCAGTCTGCACTCCAGGTGCAACAGATGGGGAATGGCAAAGTCCCTCTCTTTTTCTGATGCCCTTTATCTTTAAACTATCTTCAACAGGACAGCCCTCAACACAGACAATGCCTTTAAAATAGAGGGCATCTTTTCAAACAGAGGACTGTCTTCAGTTAAAAAGAGAGAGAGAGAGAGATGGCCACCCTACCTATACAGAAGAGGACCCGAGGCAAGCAAAAGGAGCACGTATTAAGCAGTTAGATGGGTTCCATAGGACGACGGAAAGAACAGTTCAAATTCCTGCTCCTTTTCAATGCCTAACGTGGAGGTGCCAGCAAAGCACTAAGGGACTTTCAACAGCTGCTTGAAGTCGCATCTGACAAGCCTGCTGTCCTCCTTCTCAGAGCCCCAATAAAGTTTTAATTGCCCGAGTAGCAACAGGAGCCTTGCCAGCTTCCTGTGCTGGGAAGTTCCCTTCAGCCTGTGGGCGAAATTAGGGAATGTTGTTTTGCTTACCACAATCTGGTTTGTCGTAGCACCAGAGCTCTGGAAGAGAGAGAAAGGGGTTGTGTTAGGTGATGGGAACTTATGTTAAAGGCCAGAAGACTTCAGCAACTGCCCAACCTGTGTGCTGATTAATCACCCTCCCCATGATCAGAGAAGTGTTGGGATGCCTTTGGTACCCATGCTATTAATTGAAAGCAATCCTGCTTACCCTAATCATCTTGCCCTTATCATATTGATTTATTTAGGGTGCAATCTCATATAGGTGTAGACTGACAAACATCCTAGAACTGCCAACATCTCTTCAGACAGCCATGCTTTTTGGAAATGGTAGGACTTATTGCCTGTCAAACGTACATAGGATTGCACTCAAAATTTATTATACACTTCATACATTTCTCTAGATGTTCTACAAAGGTGTCTCTCTTCACTTACATATACAAACACACATTAGAGACATTCGTAGCCCTGCTTTTCCTCAGTCAGATACAAATACACATTAACCACAGGTCATTAGAAATTAACCATCAGGCACAAAACATGTTACTATGTAAGCCCTGGGAATGTTGTCATTTCATAAGAGTAAGAATTTGCTTGTGATTTCCCTTTCTGTTGCTGTTCTGATTAAGGGAAATGATAGATCATTAAACACATAGTAATCCTCAAGGATTACAAGGATGGGTGTAGCATTTCTCCAGGGAAATGAATAAATTTTCTGGTTTAGTGACCACTGCAATTAGTTTGTGCAGCAGCTTGAGAGATTGTGAAAGGAATCAACTAGTGTCCAGCTTCTCCACATCCCTGAAGATGAGTGTAGATTCAAACAAATTTTAATTCAAGTTTTTACACTGTGGTGTAGAACCTTACCTCCACAGTTAATGCAGAATCCTCCCACTAGTAGAAACACCAAAACAGATATTGTTGGGTTCATTTTGAGAACCATGCCTTCCCCTGCTATGCACACAGAGAAAATAATATTAGTGGTCTGCAAATTTTCTCTGACCCACCTTTGGGTGCTTCCAGATGAGGATTTCACTGTGTGATTGCTCTGCCTCATTCATGGAAATTTACAGGTGGTCCAGACGATGTCTTCTATTTGTAGCCTTCCAGTATTTCCCCACCCTAGGTGCCAGCCCATTCACGATTGCACAGCCCCTTGACTTTCTTACTGAGGTTTCACCATCCCTATCTAAAGCAGATGAACTTCCCCCCGTGCTGCCCAAGTGAAATGTCAGCCCAGTCCAGTGCATGAGTTCTTCATCTCTTCCCAGTGGCGCACTGGTGATTGCTTGTATGAGGGCAATTACCATCACAATGCAACGCCATTTCAAGGGACATACAACATCTCATGTGCCTATATTCATAACATTTCAGGTTAAGGTGATAGAAATGCATTGGATCACTCTTCCCATTCCATAACCTGGAGTGCCCTTGAAGAATGCTTTGGAAGAATGCTTGGCTGGTGAGCAATCTAGGAAGCAATCCAAGCAGGAATTGCCCCAGGATCAGGTACTTCTGCCTGACATGGACCAAAGATGAGTTTAATTATTACATTTATGTCCCATTTTTTTTTTCAATTTATATCCTGCCTTTTTCCTACAAAGGGCTCAAGGCAGCTTACAACTCCTCAATGCAGGGTGACTATACAGGACTCCCAAGCAAGAACCAGACTCAGATTGGTTTATCTTCAGCTGGTGGTTGCTTCATGTGCCTTCAAACCATGCCCTGGTTATAGGTTCCCAACATGGCCTATATCAGTTAAACAACATCTCAAAAGATATACACAGATTAAAATATTAAAGATCCATGTGTCAGTGGATAGCATTTTCTTTCGGCTCTGGCTACTGATGACATATTCTGGGTTCCCGACTCTTTGAAGCAAAAGGGCAGAAGGAGATGCAAAATGCTCTAAGGAGCAGTAAAGATGCTGACCACAAAAGCAGTTCCCGGTCCTACGTGGCTTCTTTAAACAGATCATAAGCTTGGAAACTGCCAAAAGGTCCTTTATTTCAACATTGTACCCAAGGGTGGCATCATTCACACAGTCTGTGGCTGCTGGACCACATTATGCCAAAAGGTCTGTAAGCCAGACATTACAGAACAGAATAAAGTATACTCATGGTAGTCAGAAATGGTGGAGTTCCTTTACCTTGAGCAATTTAGCAGCCACCTCAGTCCAAAAGATGCCCAGATCCCTCACACACTCCTGTGGGAATCCCTCCTCTTTCTTACCTGCCACACTTGAACTGCAGTATAGTTGCCGAAGCCTCTTTGGAATGCCTCTTTCCAGAAACTCATTATATTTAGTATGGGCCACCTCCCTAAGGAGGAAGGGAGCAACAGATGAGGTGGACAAGCCATCCAAAGGAGGCGATTGGACAGACACACCCCAACGCACTAAAGAGACCTGAACCAGACAAACAGCCGGGGAGGTGCCAAAACAGGGTGACAAGCAGTTTGTTTGTTTGCTTGTATGCCTGCCACCTGAGCAGTCAACCAATTACATAAAATTGGTTTGATCATTAGGCGTTCCACTGGGAAGCAAGATTTCTCTTACCCATCTATTGTAGTTTTTTAAAATCAATTTAGATTCCTGGAATATACAAAATTCCATATTATGTTCCCTCCATAAGATGCTGCTGCCCCATTAGCAGATGACAGAGATGGTGATAGACTGAAGGAAGTCAAACCTACAATAAAGTGTTATGAAGCAGTGGTTTAGAGACTAGGGAGGGCTTTCTTTCCCTGTCTTCAGTCTCTACTTTCTGTTCACAGCAGGGAACATTTGCTTTGACTCCCCCCCCCTTTTTTTTTTTTTTTTCATTACTTCAGAAATTTGAAGTTTTGAGATAAATGGAAGGCGGAGCGGGACAAGATTCAGCCCACTCAGTTAAGTCCTTTAGGGCATCCATGGATTCAAATAGGAATGTGTTAAGCAAGGGCAAAGGTGGTGAGCTGCTTGGCTCAGAAGAGATAGATCAATGTTGGCAGGTGGGAAGCCGTCCAGACTGGGCCCACAGGGCACAATCTCCAAGGAAGCACTTGAAACAGACAATCTAAATGGCACCTTCCCACTCACTGACATGGGACACAATCCAAGGCAATGTTCTCCAGTGTAAGCACTGCTGGCACGGCCGTGCTGCCTTTGCCAGCTCCCACACACTTCAGTGTGACTTGCTCAGGATTGTGTCCCATAGTAATGAAAATACCATCTGGGTATTTTCAGCCCCAAATGCCAAAATGTTTTGGAATTCCTGGAGCAATTGAGTAACTTCCCTTGACTTTATGGGATTTCTGCATGGAAGAAGGGGGCGGCAGAGGATGAGGTGGCTGGATGGAGTCACTGAAGCAATCGGCGTGAGCTTAAGTGGACTCCGGGGGATGGTGGAGGACGGGAAGGCCTGGAGGAATGTTGTCCATGGGGCCGCGATGGGCAGACATGACTTCGTGACTAACAACAACAACAAAACGGCGCCTGAGACTGTGTTGCTTAGAAAACAGGGTAGTAAGGGGAGACATGATGGAGGTGTACACAATAACGGATGGTTGGAGAAACAAGAGGCTCTCCTCTCCTCTCCTGCCCTGGCCTTCTTACAATTCTGGTACCTGAGAAATTCAGGAGAGAGAAAAGGAAGCACTGCTTCACAAGGCGCTTATTTCAGCTATGACATTCACTGCCACCGGATGTAGTGATGGCCTCCAATGTGGACGGCTTTAAAAGGGAATTAGAAAAATTTGGGGAGGCCAAGTCTGTGAATGGCTCCTATTCCTGAGGGCTCCATGCGACTTCCAGTACCCAAAGCAGGATGCCCACGTGCACCAGTTGCTCAGGAACATGTGTGGGAGGGTGCGGTTACAGACATGGGCTTCCCCCAGCCAAGCCAACAGTTGAACTGAGTGCAGAACCTTGCCTTGAGTCACCATGGCTCTTTTTATGTTCTTATCTATCCTTTCAAGCTAAAAGAGTGGCCTTCTTTCCCCTTCCCTTAAAACCTGTACTTGATCCACAGTGAGAATTCTGAAGCTGTTAGTTTAAAATAAAACAGAACCTTCAGCCAAAAAGGATCAGTTAATCTTCTACAACAACCCAGCTCTTACGGGAAACAGTTAAAAAGAAACTGCAATCCCGTATTTGTACTTGAGGGCTTTAACCACCCACTTAAACACCCATATTGATGTGAGGTGATGCTGCCAGGAAAACGGTTAGCTCTTGCTTTTATCCCCAGGGGAAGAAACTATCTATAAAATCCCAGCTGAGGTTCAGTGGTTCAGGAAAGGTTAGCACTGGGAATTATCCAGGACTAGAACCTGGAACCAGTATTTTGTCCCTAGATGGAGGGCCGGAATCTACTGCATTGACCGCTTCTCTTTCTTCTCACCACTGTGGCCTCAGCCAGAATCAGGGGCAGGTGAACAAGGAGCTTACAACTCTGAAGAGGAGGAATAGGTCCAGGGGATTCTTGCAGCACGTTCCTACAGGGTTGTACAGCCTCAAAGCCGACCCTGCAGTGGCTGAAGGAAGAGAAAAGAGCTGCCTTCCCAGCAGAGCCGTAACAGCTGCCTTGGCTCTGCTCTACCCCTCACCAGTTTTCTGTGCATCTATTTTAGAGAACAGGTTGTTCTGCTGAGAGAGACTTCCAGGAACCTCTCTGAAACCCCTGGAAGGCACAGCAAATGAAACCAGCCTCAGGTCTGAAGGAAGAAACCCCAGAAGAGAAGCTATATTTAAAAAGATACGTCAGATGCCCACAGAAGGCCGTGTAGAGTTTCGATGTGCTCTTTTACAGCAAGGAGAGATTTTATTTGCATTATTTATGGTAAGTTCTCTGCGAGAAAAGTAGAGTAAAAATATCAGCAATCCATCAAAACGCTATGAAAAGTCAAATGTTCCAGGAATGCTTCAGTGCAAAGCAGCATGACTTTGGTCTGGGCAAGAGGGGAATTTCAGCTACTATTCAAATACACATCTTCAGAAGGCAAGAAGGACTAGAATCTTGGGTCCTACAGCTATGTTGCAAGAAAAGAAGGTTCTAGTAGATTGAATATCATCCTAGAGGCCCTCCAGTTTTGCTCTCGATTCTGGGAAAGCTCCTTGGGCTACCAATTAGAAGGCATCATGTGCCTATCCCATCTTTTTTCTTCAATGTAGGAAGGAAAAAAAAACGAAGATGCAGTGGGAAAGTGAGAGTGAGTCATAAATAGAAGATGATACCTGGTTCCTCATAAAATCCTGTGGATGAGGGAGGACAACGACATGGAAAATGTCCCACCTAGAAGTACCCATTGTGTGGCCTTCCCACAAAATCGTAGTGAATCATTGTGATTCTACTGTAAATTCTCTACCATAAACACTATTAAAAATTGTAGTACTTCTATACATTCTCATCCTGAATCAGGAAAAGTATTTTAAATTTTAAAGTGATTTACAGAATGTTAGAAGGGGTCCAGATGACATTTGCCACTTGTAGCCCTCCTTGTGGCTTTCTCACCCCTTCTTCCAGGTTTTTTCTGTCTTATTACAGAAAATCTGTTAAGGTGAAAAAGGCAAAAGAGTTGCACAGGGCCTTCTGATCCGTAGGAAATATGCAGGAAATTTCCGTAAGTATTGTCCAGCATCATTTGAATCTAATTTATTCCTACATGGTAGTGGGGTTGCAGCCCAGCATGGGGGTGAGCGGGTGACCCCTTGAAAGTGGTTATTTATGCATCACCAAAAAGAGGAAATGTATCACTGAAATTTTATATTTGGGGTAGGACCTGATGACCTGCATGGCGCCTTCCAACTCTACTATTCTATGATTCTATAAAAAAGAGGACAAGAAAGGACAGCAATTTGCATAAAATTTGTAAGTGGATGCATGCAAATGTAGAAACATGTATAATTGAAGTAAAAATACAATACCACTCACCACAGCAAGAGATGCTAGGTGACCTGCATGCCTA